AAATTATAAGAGATATGAATTGAGGGGAAAAAAAGGAGGGTTATGTACAAAAAACTACCGGAAAGTTGTCTCGTTTTGAAAGTTGTCAACCAATAAGTCTTCCGTGACTGGTTTGTTTGTGCTAAAATTTTATGTGTGTTACTAATATGTTTTCATTCAGAGAAAGAAATCAAAGCAATCTTTATTCCTGTATTTGTTAATACTAATAGGCCTAAGGTTTAAATTTAAAATTATTTTTTTGACAGTTTGACATATAACTGATTCATTGTGTCTGAGTAATCCAAAAAAATAAAGCTAATGAGTAGAAAAGTGACCAATGTCTATAGAAAACTGAAAAACATGCTGTTCAAGACTTTTTCAGAATAATATAGAAAATATTTTTACACAAAATCAACAGGAAGTAAAAACGTTTTGGGGCAATAATTCATATAAGTAATGTGTGAAAGTAGAAAATGTGACACTGTCTGTTCCTTTTATTTTAACCAGTTTGGGATTTTTAATGGTTCAGCTGAACCAACAGATTTTCCCTGGGAAAACTAAATATTTATTTAATTTTCTTAGATTTTTTTGTGTCTATGCACTGATGTGAAAGTATCACGAATCGCATAGTCAGAGGTGTGTGTGCGTGTGTGTGTGCGTGTGTGTATGTGTGGGTGCGTGTGTGTGTGTGTGTGTGTGTGTGTGTGTGTGTGTGTGTGTGTGTGTGTGTGTGTGTGTGTGTGTGTGTGTGTGTGTGTGTGTGTGTGCGTGTATAGAACCAGGCTTCCTGCACTCTGAGCTGATTTGCATGCTCTGGTCATTTCCATACTGGAACCTTGGCTGTGAAACTGGCAGTGCTGCAGGGGAAAGAAGGGCTGGTTCAGGGTGGTAGGGGGGTTATAAGTGTATTTGCATTTTGTGTTTAAACCTGCCCTCTCCCTCTTTCGTTTGCTGGCTCTCTGACTCTCACACACAGCCCAATAGGCCCAATTTGACATTCAAATGATGCAAGCTTATCCACGAACCTTTGTACCACTGTATTCTGTCATCTCTCTTCACACACTTAGTTGGAAATTTTCATAAAAGTGCTTTTTTTGTTTAGTAATAAAAGTATTTGTTTCGCTTGTACTTTTCCACATTTTGCACACATCAAAATACATTTTGATGTGTTTTACTGGAATTTTATGTGTATAGCTAACAAAGACTAATGAAAATTGAAAGGAAATACACACATATTTTCAGAAATAAAAATATTAAGAGTATGGCAAGCATTTGTTCCTTTCACTACAGTTACAACTGCAAGTTTTTGAGGTTTGTCTCAACAGCTCAAGCTCAGTCAGATTCTATGGAGAACATCTGTTATGATCAGTTTTTATCTCTTGCCACAGATTTTCAATTAGATTTAGGTCTGGACTTTGACAAGGCCACTCTAGCACATGAAAATGATTTGATCTGTATCAGTGCTGTCCAAATGTTTTGTCCTGGGGGCCCAAACTGGCAAATTTACACCTGTGGACCACTAAAAACATTAAATTAAAAATGCACAACTTAATTTATTTTTTTATTATAGCATTTGCTCAACAATAATAATTTGTTTAATGAAATCTATGTAACTGTCATGTTCAGTGGGTTTTGGTGGTGAGGTAGATGCAGTGGACCCAGGTTATGAAGAATAATGGCAGTTTTAATGTGAACAATATAAAGTACAGAGAAGTCCAGGCAGTACAGTAGTAGCATAAAGGCAAGGACTCAAACGTTGGTAGCACTGGTTGAAAACAATACAACATGCTACCTGTGTTTGAGTTCCTTGTCTTTATGCTCACCTGTGCTGCCTGGACTTCTCTGTACTTTTGGTTGTTCACCATGACAACTGGCATTACTAGTCATAACCTGCTCCACCATGTCTACCTCAACACCAAAGCCCACAGAACATGACACAAACAGGATTTGACTACATACCACAAAAACCACATACCGCAACTCTGAGGTTTGGATTTAGCTCTATTAAGATCTCTTCCTTGTTGTTGTCCTTGATGTTTAATTTGTTCCTTTGCTTGTTTAATTTCAATACCAAAGATATATTTAACATTTTCCCTCATTTTACAATGTATTAATCCAATTACCGGTAAATGTAAAAATACTGGGTAGAATATTTATTCTTTCCTTTTCCTATCAAAACTAATAACTTCTACTATTTTTGCTCCATAAATGCATTAACTTTGATATACTTAGAAATAAAGTTTTGGACACATTTTTAATGAATACACAGGGATTATCTTACTTTTTCTTTCTTTTCAGCAAATCGCATTTCTCCTTTTTTATGTATCATAGTGCTGAGAACACAAAATTTGAATCAGGCATAATTGCTATTAGCAGGTCAAACTGTATGCTTCAAAACAGGCTTAAATCCGTTTGTTTTACTCCATATGATTTCCTTTTAATCAATGTGTCTTATTCTAATCTTGTGATGTTTAAATCTGTATTTTGTAATCCTTGTTTCTAGATGTTTTATATTAATTGTTGTAATATAAAACAGATATCACTTTGAGATATCTGTAAATGCAAAGTGTTATAAATAAAATGTGTTAATAATATGAGACCATAAGAAAACAAGGAATCTATATCAGCCACAAAAATACTGCATCTCTAATTGACATAATACTTAATAACTGGAACTGGATGTTTTAAACTTAGAGTGTCAGAATGAAACAAAAATCAAAGAGGGTAGATTTCAGAAATACTTTGTTTAAATGTGATTAATGTGTATCTAATCCAACACTTTGCATTTACATTTAACAATCTTTGTTGTGCTGATTTGTTTTTAATTTTGCTTTACGGAAGATATTTTAAACTCTGTGCTTTGTTCTTTTCCTCTTTCCATATCCAGAGCGAAACGGAATAGACTTTAATCGACAGGTGAGTATGACATCACTTCCAGAGTTTGAATTCTCCTGACTGTGTAAATGACATCCGTTTTTCTCAGGATGAGTCGGGATGGTCTTTTATTAAACATGCCATCCCTTCCTGTTTGCTCACATGCAATCTAATGTTTGTTTCCTGCACTGTGGGTGAAACAAATGTGTCTTTGAACTAAATGAACTGCTTGCAAACCCATCTGCAAGTCTGTCATTCAGCCACTGCATGTTTAGCTTTGAAATTAGACTTTAACATAAGCCAAAACATAACATAAATAATACAAGAAGCAATTTTCACATGATGGCTTCATTTATTATTGGAAATTTTTTTTTGCAGAATTGTTCTAATTTAAAAAAAAACTGGAGTTTTAATTCTCAAACAGCCTCAAGCAGATTTCAGTCTGAACTTTGAATAAACAACTCAAAACCTTAATTTCAAAGATTTTTTATAAGAATATCTAAACATGGCACACGCATGACTAAACATGTGAAAGTCAGCCTTATCTGACCACTAGATTTACTGTGTAATATGGAAATTTCATATACATTTTCTCTCAGAGGTACAGATGTGAAATAGATTACACATTTCTTCCACAATGTGTGTTTTTCTTACTGTGGGAGTTTGGTAAACCAGTTTCCCATGAAGGTCCTTGCCCAGATCCAGAGGAAAACTATTTGCCCATGCCAGGTCTACCATGCAACCACAAATAGCCAAGAATAGGATTTTCAGATAGACATTGAAAAACCTGCTAATTAAAATAATTTATTATAGTGCACAAAACATATTGGTTCCTGTCAGAGATTTAACACTGAATCAGGGACAACAGCAATGTGTCACTCATTGCCAGAAAACTGTGCCAGCTTAAATGCTAATTATAAACTAAGACTAAGAAAACAACCATACTGAAAATAAAACAAAACTCTTTCAACATTGTGTTCACAAATCTAATCAAAATCTAATAACTTTGTTCCATATAAAAAGGGGCTCATGAGATACAGCTTTCTTTTTACTTAGTGAGGCTAAAATGCTAATGCTAACTTGAACATAAGCAGGAATAAAAGTGTGAATTCAATTTCAGCTTATTTTTACTATGTGAATCAAATAGCTGGAAGAAACTATTTTCCAAAAACATTTGAAGATAATTTTATATCATTTTCATTTAGCATTAGTTATTGTTTGTTTTTGGGTTTTTTCCTCATTCACCATGAATGGGGGCTTTATCTTTGGCAGAAATTAATGTGGTATTCAGTTTGAACTGATTTTTAAGATGAGAGCAATTTCCTAAAATGTAGGAAAACCGTAGTGAAATTTGTTACTTGTATTGAGTCACAAGGCTAACTGCTGTTGGCAAGACTAAAATTGTAGCCTTTTTGTCTCTACTTTAAGCATAGAGTACAAAAACTTAGAACATGTTCACAAATAGTGATTGTTCATCAATATGTTACCCAAAGAATCAGCAAAAAATAAAAATAGTTTACACCAGGAATTTTTTCCAGTTTCCTGTAATCATGAATTTGAACTTTAAACAACTTTAAATGCTGATTTTAGCAGCATTTTGCTTACGATGAGAAATCGGAAGCTCCATCATGCTGCTAAAGGTTAGCTGATTTTGTAAGCCATAACTGGCTTAAACACAAGGTTGTGTTTAAGGACTCAACCTTAAACACAAGGATTTGAAGAATTTTTAAAAAATATACATGTGAATTTTGTTGAGAGAGATTCCTGTTTCAAAAACAATAACCTACAAGATAAAAATATTGTCAAAAATATAATACACAATGCAAACTACAAGTAATTCAGTTCAGTTTAACTTTGGTGTACTTTATTATTTGCAAAAGGAACTGTAAAATCTATTGAACAACAAAATCAAAAATCATATTAGACTTTCCGGAGTCGCATTCGATTGTCATCGTATTTATGAGGAGAGGATCGTGAATGAGTGATGGACATTTAAATGTGGCCTGTTGCAAGGGACAAATAGAACAAGGCAAGTTTTAGTAATAAAGTAATAAATACCTCAGCTCACCAAGCTAACAACATTTAGCAACATGAGCCAATATAAAGCTAATTGGCAGCCTTCTGCACTTACAGATACTATAGAGTACAATGATTTAAGATGCACAAAAAGTCAAAAGTTCTAACAAGCATAACCAGATGTCACTGTTTTTGCATGCCCCAATAACCGACTACGGGAAGAATATTTATACAGTTGCATATCAAAGTACAAAAATGGCATTACTTTCAATTGTTTTATAAATATTTTCAGGAGTATTTCTCATATATAAATAAATATTGCATCCTCCTTACTCTGGCCAGTAGAGTTTCACCCAAAGAGATTTGTTTTAAATTACAAAAAGCTGAACCAACACATTGTTATTGTTACTGGGGACAAAGAGGATGTGTTCTGACCATACTGAACCAGGATCTATGTGAAGTTCCTAGTGATTATTTTAACCTTGTAAAAATTTATGTGAAAGCATAGTTAAAAGCTAGAAAAAATATAAAAACTGGACATAACGGTAGTTTATTAAAATTCATAATGTGAACAGTTCCAGAAAAATATACCTCAACAGCTGTTGAGCGCTGTATATAATGTATAACATATATGTTTTTAGTTTGCAGGGCTGGTTCAATGTTTTCACAACGTGTGGTTTGAACAAGTGTTCAGTATAGGAGTATGGGATAGAGTCACATGTATTTCTATTAATAAAGACAGATTTTTGCCCTTTTTGTACATCTAGATAGAAAAATATTTGATTTGATTCATCTAGTGAGGCTAGAATGCTAATGCTAACTTGAACATAACTTGAACATAAGCAGGAACAAAAGTGTGAATTCAATTTCAGCTTATTTTTACTATGTGAATCAAATAGCTGGAAGAAACTATTTTCCAAAAACATTTGAAGATAATTTTATATCATTTTCATTTAGCATTAGTTATTGTTTTTGGTACATTTTGCACCAAAATGTATGTTAAAAAGTTTACTTCAGTTTCTTTAGTTCCTTAATTTATTTATTATTTATTGTTTTGTAGAAACGTAATTTGAAAGTGACAAGACAAAAACTGACAAAACTAACAAAAAATGTAGCATGATTTTTTTTTTTAAAGGAATAACTTGATTTTTTTTTGTTTTCAAATGTTCCAGTTATTATTCATCAAGGCAATATGTTTTCCATTTAAAATGACTTAAATGGAAAACATTTTTTTTCCTTTGAACAAAACATCAATTTAAAGTGATTATTTTGTGGTTTAGGACAAGAGTGGTGCTCTTTATGTGACACAGCCCTTGCTTTCAGGCTTTTTTTTCAAAAAGAGTAGTTGATAGCAAGAATAAATGCGTGAGAATGAAAAGTTGACAAACTTATATCAGTGTGATATATTAGAAAGCTAATTACACGCTGGAAATTTCTTGTTTTTTTTTTCTGCCCAAGTTGAACGTTTTCTGTGTTGCTTTTCATTGGGTGTTAGTGCTTTGAGGAAGTATCACAGTTCTCTGGGGATAGTAAGTTAGAGATGGGGGGAAGGGATATTTGCATACTGGTTTGCCCGAAGGGGAGGATGAGCATCTATCATGCTTTGTAATCTGTTGAGCGATCAAACTGGTAAGGAAGCCTGTGAGGGATTTTGGACTACCTCTATAAGTAGTGAACATTCATTTATCAACGGGGATTGCCCTCCTGTTGTCCTCTAAATTCCAAACAAGTCCATTGTTTAGAATTTGTTTTATGCTTTTAGATTAAAACAGAGGACGTCAACGACTCCCCTCATTCAGTGTCCTCGGGGAAGACATGCCACCTCACACAGAGCTCTCCAGTGCATGGGAGTCAGTTGACTGGGGTAAGACAGAGTCCATTAAATAATGGACTTGAATTTGTTAATATCCTGGAAAAGTCTAAAACCTCTTTTGTTAGCACTGCAACAAATAGGACCATATAAGTGTATTAAAGCAACATATCCAGATTATATGGAAAAGGATGAGGGCAACTGAAGAAAAAGAAAATTCTGACTTTCATTTTTCCAGAATTCTGACTTCTTTCATTTCAGAATTTTGATGGGGGTTTTTTCCTCAGAATTTTGAGTTCAATCTGAGAAATCTGACCTTTTTGTTAGAATTCTGTTATTTTTTTCCCTCAAAATTTGGACTTTGTAAGAATCCTGATTTGAATCTCCTGATAAAAAAGTTAGAATTCTATTTTTTTGCCATTGATTTTAATCCTCTTCTTTAAGGTTGTAATAAAAACAGCCCATTTTACTATGCTTTTCTCTGAATCATATTTTTACTAAATGGACATCACTTGATAAGGAGTAAGACTTGACAGATGACACTGGAGAAATGAACTCATAAGGAAAATGAAGGCGGTAAGGCTGGGCAGGTTTTCTTCAGGGCTCTGTTTAAATTGATTTTCTTTTGCAATCAGAGGTGTTGCAAAAGAAGACCAGATTAAACTGGCCTTTAATTTGATTTATCCTCTGTGTGAATAAATACAGCCGGTTTAAACTTTTAAAGCAGTTAAATGAGTCCAAGGTTTATTTTTCAATATCTATTTGTTACCGCCGCTGATCAGAGCGGAGTAAAAAGTCTTTATTCTGTCATTTCAGATGTGTGATTTCATCTAAAATCACCATTTCCACAACTTTCAGTTCCCCTGACATGCATACTTTGTGCAACACTCGGGAGAAGGAAGAAGGCTGGTTTTGTTTGTTTTTGTGACCCATTTCTGCAAGAGAGTGTTAGTGCCAGACAAGAGATTTTTTTCCTAAATAAATTTATGATATTAGCAGAATAAAGATGCAATATGCTAGAAAAAAATATGTAAAATTACTTGATGAGATCAAAGTTATCACAATCTGATGTGACCAGCCAGTCAAATCCATGTGGTTCTTTCTTTGAAATGAACTCAGCTGTTGGCACAACTGATCCAACTGCTCCCTCTCACACGTGTATTTGTATATACACACAAATATATTCTAGATTTTTAACACTGGTTTTTTTTATCCTTTGTTATTGTTACTCGGGTGCAGAAACGTATTTTTCAAATTTTTAATCTCTTTTGCTGTTCTAAACATTCTCACTTCTGTTTGTTTTAATTTCAGGAGCTCACCTCCCTTCATCCAATGCAGCAGCTTGTTCTGATGCCGCCCTCTCACTTGCAGACTCCATCCCCCTTCCTCCTCTCCCAGAGTCCCTCCAACCATCAAGGTGGAGTGTCATTTAGTTCTCTCTGTTTCCAGATGTTAACTAAGAACCATAGGGAGTAATAACAGAAGAAAAATGACATCTGCTATGATACAGTAACAGTTTTGAGAAACAACTTATTATTGTTTCTCAATAAGCTCCTCTGTGCAGCTTTTAACATATTACTGAATCGACTGGAGAGTTGGACATACAATGAATAATCAATATTCACCAATCCATTAGTTTTGTATTCTGCACTTAATCTGAACAAAAGAGGTAAATAACCATAAAAATAAATGTAATTTTGCACAGAAATATATTGTTCAGCAGTGTTTCATGTCTATCTGAAGCAATTATTGATTACCATCTGGCTGTTTTGCTTTGCAGCCCTCCTGCAGCCAAACCTGCTGTCCCTTCCTGGACAGAGTCCACCGGGTCTTCTTCAGCATCAGTCTGGGTTAGCGCTGACTCCCCAGGTGAGTCATGCAACTGTTAGCTACTGCCTTGTTCTCAATCTTAGTGCAACTAAATACAAAAGTAGAAATTGAAAGTAATTTTCTTTAGTTAGCTTTCTTTAAAAGGGAACGTAAGATGCAAAATTCACATTTTGCATGTTTTTGTACTTCAATTGGTATTTCTAATGCTTCTAAAAACAGACCAACAAATTAAAACAAACAAACAAACAAAAACAAAAAAACTACCATTTCTTTGACATAAGTTAATGTTTTTTAATGTCTGGAAATTTTGCTATTTCAAAAACCTTATGAACAAAACATCAAAAATGAAGGCACTGACACTCATGTAGCAACCCAAGTAAACTCTGTACATTACTTAATAACCCCAGGCGAGCTCTAGCATGTTTGGTCAACAAAACATTTGGAAAAACCAAATGTTTTGTTGTTGACTTACCATCCAAAAATCATTTGCTGCATTCTTGTTACTTTTGCAAAAGGCTCTAGTATAACTGCGCATCTCTTTGCAGCCATTTTCACATGAGAGAGCAAACATTGAGGTGGAGTATGGACAACAGAAGCTTATTTGGACTTAAAGTGACAAGAGACTGTAAAACAGCTAATTCTGAAGGATGTTCAAAATAGAAAAACTAACCAGACTAAAATCTCATTATCCATGAATGAATTTGTGCAAGAAAAGATATATATATATATATATAGAGAACGTATTTTCTCAAATCTCCCATTCATCAGCAAAGTTATTGAAAAAACTGTGTCAACAATTAAATAGTTTCCTCATGATGACCAACTGCTTTGACTCTTTCCAGTCTGGTTTTTGTGCTCACCACAGCATGGAGACTGGCCTAGTCAAAGTATTCAATAACATCCATATAAATATGGACTGTGGGAGAACCACAGTGCTGGTTCTGTTGGACCTCAGTGCAGCTTTTGACATATTACTGAATCGACTGGAGAGTTGGGTTGGACTCTCCGGTTCGGTGCTCGACTGGCTTGAATCTTACATAAAGAACAGGGATTTCTTTGTTTCAATGGGAAACTTCTCATCAAAGAGGTCAAAGGTCACATGTGGGGTACCCTAAGGTTCAATCTTAGGACCCCTCTTATTCAATATTTATATTCTCCCACTAGTTCAGGTTATAACAGGAAATAATATAAGCAACCATAACTATGCAGATGATACTCAGCTCTACATTACAATGTCACCAGGTGACCTTTGACCCCATCCAATCACTGAATAAATGCTTACAACAGATAAATGTGTGGATGTGGAAGCATTCACTTTCTCCAGCTGAACAGAAATAAAACCGAAGTCATTATTTTTGGACCTAAAGAGGAACAATCTAGAGCTATAGATCTAGAGTCAATACACAGCTTCAGTTATTACAACTAAAAACTAGCGATCAGCCCGAAACCTGGGAGTAGTGATGGACTCAGACGTGAACCTTGCGAGCCACATAAAGACGATTACAAAATCGGCCTTCTATCACCTGAAGAACGTCTCCAGGATTAGAGGACTAATGTCTCAGCCAGATCTAGAGAAACTCATTCATGCGTTTATCTTTAGTCGCATTGATTATTGTAACAGCGTCTTCACAGGCCTGTCCAACAAATCAATCCTCCAGCTGCAGCTGATCCAGAAGCTGCTGCTCCTGTTCTCACTAAAACCAGGAAGATAGAGACATAACAGCAGTTTTAAAGTCCCTCCACTGGCTCCCTGTAGCTCAAAGAATAGACTTTAAAATATTGTTGTTAGTTTATAAATCACTGAACGGTTTAGCACCACAATACATCAAAGATCTGCTGTTGTTGTATCAACCTTCCAGACTCTCAGGTTCTGGTTCTGCTCTGCATCCCCAGAACCAGAACCAAGAAGCAGCTTTCAGCATCTATGCACCAAAAATTTAAACAAACTTCCAGAAAACTGTAAAACAGCAGAAACCCTGACTTCCTTTAAATCTCAACTAAAAACACACCTGTTTAGAATTGTATTTGAAATGTAATATGTAACAATGTATTGTCTATTATATGATGCATGACTTTGTGTTTATGATGTAAAGCACTTTGAAATGTCTTGCTGCTGAAATGTGCTATACAAATAACATTTGATTGGTTGATTGATTGATAGCTTGATAGAGCAGGGGTTCCCAAAGTCAGTCCTGAAAAACTGGGATCCTGCATGTTTTAATTCTCTAAAATAAAAAGAAACAATGACATTATCAGCATGTCAAGATTCTTCTTAGGCCATCTAACGAGTCATGATTGGGTCCAGGGGTGTTAAACCAGGGAGAGAACTAAAGCATGCAGAATGCCGGCTCCTCAGGACCGACTTCGAGCATCCTTGCCATAGAACTATCCTCACAAGATTATTCACTTAAATTTACTTAAATCCTTCAGTGGTTAGATGGTCCCACCTTTTAAAACACTAATTCAAGTCTATCAGATAACAGTGTAGCAATACACATCTGAGTAAAGTGAAAGTTGTCAATGGATTAGTTGGTTCATGTTGAACTAACTTTGTCTCACCTTCCTAAAGCTGAAGATTTGTCTCTGTGGTGGGTTTCCTATCCAGGCTATGAGTCGTTCCGGTTTGGCTGGACCGTCCCTCGAGAACCACATGGACATGTCGCAATTGCAGATGCCCAAACACTTGGCTGTGGCACCACAGGAGGAACCCAATGATTTGGAGGAACTGGAGCAGTTTGCCAAAGCATTCAAACAAAGACGCATCAAACTGGGCTTCACTCAGGTATTTAGAAGAGGAATGTTACAATTTGAAGACATTAAGAAGGTTCCCAACTACTGAGAGCAATATAGGGTTGTACAGTGAGAAACTAGACCAAAAATACTTGGTAAGATTTTTGCAGTTTATTGCAGTGTACATAGAGATTTAATTCCTGTAATTCCTTTTATTTACTTTGCTGTGTCTTTGTCTTGCCACAGGGAGATGTGGGTTTGGCGATGGGAAAACTCTACGGTAATGATTTCAGCCAAACAACAATATCACGATTTGAAGCGCTCAACCTCAGCTTCAAGAATATGTGCAAGCTCAAACCATTGCTGGAGAAGTGGCTCAGTGATGCAGGTATATTGAAATCTTGATAGTATGAGAGCTGCAAGAAATGCATTTTCTTTGAAAACATCCTGAAATACAAATATTTGTCAATAAAATTTCATAGTTATGTGAGAAAAGAGGCACTGCAATATGATAAAACACCAAAGAAACTCAAGAAACTAAACAACAAAAACAGCAGGAAAATTCTATAACCAAAAATACTATTGAACTGTGGGTTTTTTCACTTTCATTTTCAGATAAGAGTAATTTTTGTTTCTTTTTATTTTAGAGAATTCACCCTCTGACTCAATGAGCACTTCGACCTCTCTGCCGCCTCTGATGGAGGGCTACGGACGCAAGCGAAAAAAGAGGACAAGCATCGAAACAAACATCAAGTTGACACTGGAGAAACGTTTTCTTGATGTAAGATCAACAAAAACTTATTTTCAGTTCAGTTTCTTATGTCCAGTTGTTGGAATTCATTCATCTTTGTCTCTGTGCACTACCTAAGTTCATTAACCAGTTTCAGGACCTGACCAAAACCCCTCAGGGTAAATGACGTTGAGAAATAATGAGATTTGGCTATATATAAAAGCAGGCCTTAATGCCGATAAATGATCAAATCAAAAATGATCAGGCTGCAATGATCTTCCAGTGACCTCCCATGGCAGGTTGTGGCTGCTGTGACCTGCTGCCACAACCTGGAATTTGCTGACATATTCCACAGATTGAATATAAATGACTACTTAGAAAAAGAACCCCAACAAAACTGGTGGCTCTGCTATAGAGCCAACTGAAGGACGTGGGGAAAATGTTAAACTTGATAGTTACATTGTCCAAACATGATCATGTACTGTCTAAACGGAATAATCATATTGTACAAATGTAATAATTATATTTTAGAAACGTGATAACTACATTTTATAAACATGATAATTTTATATTCAGAAGGTGGCGGTATTATGCTTTCCATGCAGGCATCAAGAGCACTATCACATTATAAAGTGATTGGTTGGTTAGCTAGTGATTTAACTATTTATGGCAGAGTACCATTAAGCAAAGCAGAAGGAATGTCAAGAGCGTCACATCTTTTCACATCATTAGATGTTCATAAATCATTCTGTTCTGATCTGGATAAAAGTCTCTTCAAGTTTATATGGAAAAATAACGCCCATAAAATAAATAAAAAAATCAGTTCTGTCAAACTCTTTAGCTCAAGGAGGTTTAAATATTTAGACTTTCTTGTCTAATCAAATGTTAAAAATTAATTGGATTAAAAGATTTCTACAAAATCCAAATTTCATGAAGAATATTTTCCCAAATCATTTGTTCAGTAAACTAGGGGGTCTAAATTTTGTATTGCATTGTCCTTTTCTCAGTTGGAAAACTTTCTGTCAAATTACCTACATTTTATCCGCAGGTTCTGCTGTGTTGGAACCTTTATATAATACATAAAAGCAAATCATTATTTCTTCATAAGTGGGTTGCTAATAATATTAATTTGAGAAATCAGTTACTCGACAGTAATGGTGAGTGCTATACCTATGAGAATTTTATGAACAACAATGACAGTTATCTCAAAAACAATTTGAAGTGGTCATTAAAGCTGTTCCTCATTGTTTGCTCTGTTTAGCACAAATCAAACATCCAAATGATCTCATTTACAAACAGGTTTATCAGAACTCACTTACAAACTTTCTCCACTCCCATAAGTAAACATAGATGGGATTATTTGAGCCAAAAATTGTGGAGTGCAATCTTTTTATTGCCTCATAACTATATAATAGCTAATAGGATAAGAGAATTTCTATTTAAGATTTTACAAAGATATTGTCCAGTTTAAAATAATATTTGTCACTTCTCTCCAGATGTCAGCAACAACTGCTCTTTTTGACATTGTGAAGGTGAAAGTATTGCACATTTATTTGTGCAATAATGTTCTCGCACTACAATATTTGGGTCAGGCTTGTAAAAACTCCTGACAGAAAAAATATTGTTTTATCAAATTAACATATTTTACTCATCTTTAACAATTCAACTTTTTCTTTAGATGAAATATAAATAGTGAATCTTATAATAATCCTAGCAAAATATGTCCACAAGATGAAATGGAGAGAAAAAAAACCCCTCTTTTAATAATTTTCAAGAAACTGACTTAATATATTTATATATTGCCTCTGTTGAAAAACTTAATTTTAATAATAAAAATCTGGTAAAAACTTGAACTCTCATTAGCACATCCCTTTGTTATTTTTTTTTTCTTTTCTTTTTTTGTTCTGTTTGCCGTCATATACCCTTCTTCATATGTATACATATATATTTTTGGGACTTTTTTAAAATGAAAACTGAACTGAAAATGTACACATCATTTTATTTTACCAAAGTACATATATTTATTTAACTTTTGTCTTTCTAGACTTTAACATCAATACCCTCAATGTATGTAATTATTCTTTGTTTTTATTATTATAATATTTGTCTTTGAGTTAACATTTGTTTGTATGTTTCTGTTATTTGTCTGAAATAAAGTAAAAAGAAAAAAATCACAGATTTCAAAAGCTAACAAAAACGGGAGACCGCAGATAATATAGGAAATTACAGGAATATTTCAACAACAAAAAAAATTAAAAAACCACAACAGCAAACAAAAAAACTTGAATGAATGAAGGCCTGTTAGTTGCTAACATGTAAATAAATGAAGTTGAAACTTACAACTCATGCCTCATGGGAGCTCGGAATAAGGTTTAAAATCGACAGTCTAACTGGCAACATTTGGCTACATTTAGCAACATTTAACATCTAGCTAGCTTGCTAGAACAAAGTGTAGTGTTAATGTGCTGATGTTAGCATTTAGCTTACCTTTGAACTTTAAACTCTGTTCTGAAGTCATGAATTTTGACCTCCTTGCATATTAGCATACCAATACTAAATAGAGCAGAATTAGCTCTATTCAGCAGATCATGTGCTTTTGATCTGCTGAACCTTTCTTGTGATAGATAGGTATTTAAATTTTAACAGTATAATCAATTATGTTTCAATTGACAACATTTACCATGTTAGCAAAATAGAACATGTCATTGGCTGCTATTGTCATACTAATGCTAAAACTTATCATTTTTAATGTGGCACCTTGCTTATCTTTGGGCCTAAACTATATTTTGTCTTATCAACTGTGCCTTGAGCTCACTGTTAACTCTCAAATTATGCAGAATTTAGGCAGAGTTGAAAGACAAGCATCTTTCAACTCTGCCCAAAACATTTTTGTTTGTTGTTAGCACAAGACGTTGTGAGTATGTTTCTGACACGTTCATTACATAAGAAAAAATGATGTCCTTAATTTCATAACAATTCGAATTACCTCAAAATTGATTAAAGAGGCAATGTATGCCTCTAATATTAGGATTTAGTTTACCTCTAAGCCTCAAACTGTTTTTCTGTCAGAGAAGTGGTAAACAAAAGAGGAAAATACTGATGTATTCAGGAAATGACTCTTAGATATGGCAGTGTTTACTAAATATTGCTGATTACTACTAATTTATTATACACAAAAATAGACAAATATAATTGATATTTTTTTATTTCATCCCCTATCTTGAAAAGTGATTATACCACATGTCACAGAAAGTACACTTGTCCTGATAGAATTTTCTAAAATCAGACAGTGACATTGTTTTTGATTTTCAGAATCCAAAGCCCAACTCAGAGGAGATAACTCTAATTTCTGAGCAACTTTCCATGGAGAAGGAGGTGGTTCGAGTTTGGTTCTGTAATCGTCGTCAAAAGGAGAAAAGGATCTACTGTCCTGTAGCTACTTTACCTGTCAAATCGCACAGCTACAACTCCAGAATGGTGAGTTGTACAATTTGATAATAAACTCTATTGGGTTTATACCCACGACTATTGTTTGTTTGTTGTCGTTTTATTTTTTAAATCTAATTCTGAATAACAATAGTGCAAATTTATCTATTTGAGATTCTCCATTTTGTTACTTTCTTTAGTTTTTTAATTTATTTTCATCCTTTAGTAATTTAAATATAATCTATTTTTGTAGTTGATTATAGTACATCTTTATACCTCAATAACAACCTTATGTACTAATAGTCTTGTAATGATTTCAAAAAAGATGTTATTTAAAACCATGCAAAGTTTTAATTATTTCCACATTTTTCATTCTTATATGTCAGAGTCATCCAATCACAACAAATGTAACAAATAAGATCTGGCATTTCAAGTTACGCACTTTCATATTTGTACATTTGAATTCCTCATCATACAATACCAAAATCTGTTTCAAAACTGTTTTAGGCCTCAACTTCAAGGTCCTACAGCCCTTTGGCTTCAGGTGGAGGTAAGCACTTTTTTATTATGTAGCAGATGCCTTTTTCTGAAATTCTCAAAAATCAAATACTAAAACATTGTCAAACAAAATCTGCAAGATTTTGACAATGTTTGGACTTTTCCTTTCAGTTTCTTCAAATTCATCCCCAAACAGCACGAGTCGGGAACCGTCTCCCAACAGTCTATCTGCAGCTTCAGTTGCTTTGACCTCTCAGGTCAACCCAGCTTCCTACAGTGCACCAAGGTAAAATTAATACCACTAAAGATTTCTTGTTTTTACTTTGTGAACTCTTTCTCATGGTTTCTGTAGATTTTACCAACTCAAACTTAAGACTTTTAAAAACCTATATCTCCTCAGAAATGTAGGAATTTTGTCCAGCCAGTTGGCATTCATGGCTGAACAACGTTCGCTCGCACTGTCTTCGGAACGATTTCGTGTTGAGCACACCATAAGAGCTGTCAAGAAAAATAAAACAGAATCATCAAACTACTGTTCTTGATCCTCTTTAGAAAATAAAATATCAAAAAAGTTCATTTTAAAGCACATTTCCGCTAGAAATGTTTGAAGAAATAATAATAAAAACAGCATTGACAAAATCATATTGGGTGTTGAAGATGTTTGTATTATTTTAGCCATGCTGTTAACTGTCTCAACTGTTAATATATGTTAACTGGTCAGATGTTTCTTCCAAAATGGAAAACCCTGCTTTAGATCAAATTAAAAGTTTAATTATGAACTGACTGCGTTGTCTGCGATGGAGCATTAGGGACATACTAAGAAAAAAAGTCATCTTATGAGAATAAATTTGTACAAAATTAAAGTCACAATATTACGAGAATAAAATCATAATTCTATTTAGTCAAAGTTATGACTTTGAAGAATGAAGTCAAAATAACATAAGTATAAAGTTATATTTCAAGAATAAAGTTGTAAAACTGTGACTTTCTTCTTATACGAGTTTATTCTTGTAATTTTACTTTTTCATTTTCTTATTGTGGCCCTGATTCTCAATCATGCTTGTCCATTTTATCCAAGGATATTTTTTTGATCAGTGATGCTTTATTGTTTCAGTTCTTGGTATCGCACTTGGAATCCTGCTGCCTATCATCACTGAGAAACACAAACTGTACATATGAAGCTTTTGAAGATTGGTGAAGAAGAATGAAGATTGATTAACACTCTCCCTGTTTCAAGCAGGGTTACAACTTAATGCTACAGCAACAAAACAAATACATAACTCAAACCAGGTCTACAAAGGAGAGGACTTTAATACACACATTTCCTGCTAGTTCATCACTCATAGAAGACCCAAGAAGCCAGGAGCTGTTCGATTAGTGCTTCCAGGACTCCATATTTGACTGAAAAATGAAGGATCAAGAGAAATAATCATCAGAAGTGACAGCAGGAAGTCTCATGTTTGACTCCCCGTGCTAAAAACCCAAATAATTTATTTAAACCTTGAAGGATTCATTTGCAGATTCACTAACATTACAAAAACTGCTTCCTAGGTCATCTTTGACATATTTAGTTTAAATGTTGTTTATATAGCTCCAATTTAAAAAATAAAATTTTAAAGTTAGTCACATATTACACATTAGATAAAGTACAAATGGAAGGACAAGGGATGAGAATACAGAGACACTGCATTCTTATCACTTCAGAAAAATTTTTTGGGGAATATAAAATTGAAATCAACACTAGATCACCCAATAATTTTTTCTCATTTTAAGAATAAAATTGGACAAAGTATCACTTTTATCCAAACAAGTCTTGTGTAGAGATTTTCAGATAAGAACGATCCAAATGTGGTTTGAAAATTACCTTTGACTATCAGGAATATCTTAAATTTGCATTTATTGTATATTTTAGAGATTAACAAAGTGCTGGCTTTGTATCTGACCTCTTTTTCTATCAGGATTAAAATTAAAGTTTAAGATTTAAGTTGGATGGGCTCCTGGCACAGACCAGATTTTAGGCATTGTCTGTAAACTTTTCACAAGTCATTGTTATTACAGTAACTTAATGTTGACCTGTACTGCTCAGTCCAAAAGCAAAGTTTCACTTGTTTGACCCAAATTGTTAATTCAGAAAAGGGAAATTGAATTAGGGCTGCAATTAACAAATATTTTAATAACTGATTAATCTATCAATAAATCTGGTGATTAATCAGTTAAAACTGTTTCACATTCTGCAGATTTTTCATTAATACAAAACCAGAAATATATTAAGAGATTCAAAATAATAAACAATTTAATTTATTTTGTTTTAAACACAACAAAGAGAATAAAAAATTTCTTATCTAAAATGTAGTAACAGTATTCATTTAGTGAAAGCATCTAAAATACTTCTAACAACATGTTAAAAGCTCAGCCCTTTCTACTTGACACAGCATCAATATATTATGGGGTGGCCTGTTGATTATGTTTCAAAAAACTACAATAATTAATAAATGGACAGCAAAACGTGAAGCTGAAACTATCCCACATATCCCATATTTATGAAGGATTTAAAAAAAATCTTAAATGCAAAATCTGTATATTTTTGTACAGTTTTATAAGCAAATTGCCTTTTTACATCCATATATGAAAGTAAGCAATTGATTACTAAATTAATTAACAATTTCAGTAAGAGATTCATGTCAATTAGCCCTGGTTACAGAATTTTAAGCAACATAAAATCCACATAGCTCAAGCTTGCCGAGAACTAGAAACTGCTGGAACCCCAGTGCAACTAGTTTAAGATCCCCACAGACAGAGAAAGAAAAAAAACCTGCTTCAAATGACACTTCAGATTTGAACACGGAGAAGCCAAATGCCCACTGAAGATTCTGATAGTCAAACCTAAAAACACAGTGTTAACTGTGAACATGGTGCGATTCGTGAAGCTGCAGTGAAACAGGTGTTTGAAAAGTGCTTTAGTGTTTGACTGAAGAAATGAAACTATGATGAAATCATTAAGATGGAGCTCATGTATGAGACTATATATATTGTGATTTTGAAAAAAAAAGTTCTAAATCAAAGATTAAAGATCAAAGCTATAACATTAATGGCTATAATGAGAGTGTGAAATTAAAAGGAACACTTTAATTGGGAGATAACAGCAACTAGACCTAAACTAAGGGGTGAAATTATGACTTTACAAGAAATCTGTTATTCAGAAATAAGCTAATTAAAGCTTCCTTCCACAGTTTTAGAAAATTGTTTTTTAGTGTAAAAATGATTAAAAGTAATTCTGAAATTCTCCAGTTTAACTCTTCCATAACCTACAGAGTCCCTTTTCAGAGAATGTCATTTAACGTCTCCTATATGTAACACTCTCTGTGTTTTCAGTTGAACTTCAAGTGTTTTCACAACCTAGATGCTGTGCAGGCAAAACTAAAGCATGCAAAACTCCTGTTATTCTTTTGTTCAAACGGGTCTATTCTATATTAGTTAGTATTATTTATGGAAAACAATAGATCAGCCTGAATTAGTTGGAAAAAAACTTCAGAAACAATCATTTCTTTATTTTTAAAGGATCTTTTGGTTTGTAAGAAAAAAATCTTTATCTTTAAGCTGCATTTTAGACTGCTGCCCTCTGCTGGACGTCAATTCTCGCTACTTTAGATACATTTTTCCCCCTGAACTGCCAATCAATTTCTATTTGAAAGTCTGGCCATTTCTTTTATTGTGTTTGATTTTGGTTTGTAATTTCTTTTTTCAATGTTAATTTGATATTTTATTTAATTGTATGGAAATGATGCTGTGGCATGAAGAAGACAAACACATGCCACAATATTTGATAAAGCCAATTCATTTATAATCTTTATTGTTTCACTTTCTGACATGTTACAAATAAAATTGTGTTTTCACTAAAATGCAACTGAGCTTGCAATCAGTAAAGGAAATCTTCTGTCAGATCTGCAGTCACCAGGAAAATAATTTTCATGATTAGCAAGAACTGACCAAGAAAAGGTTTTGTCAGTTCCTTGGTCTGTAGAAACAGTGATTTTAACACTTTAAGGTATGGCGGAATTTTTCTGCCATAATCCAAGAGCACACATTTTCAATCTGAAAACAGAATTTTATATATTTTGTTCTCAAAACTTTTAATACTTTTGCTTCCATTTTAATTTTGAAATAAAAAAAATTTAATTTCTAGTTTTTTTCTTCTCTAAACTAGAAATGCTTGTAAAACAAAAGACACGAAGTGCTGCTTTTAGACTGAAAATGTGTGCTCTTGGATTATGGCAGAACAATTCTTTCATACTAAGGAGGATACTCATCAACAAGTTGGAGATGGAATTTTTGGAGACCATACACCTGAAAAAGGAAATATAGCTATTTTCAAACAATGTTATTTCTTCCATTGATGAGTAGAATACATTTAAGACAGTAGCTACATTTCCTAAAAGTACACAATATTCCAAGCAAAATCACCCTAATTTGTGAGCCTCAGACTGATAGAAGAAATAGGAAAATATAAATCTCTTAGAATTTCAAGTCTTTGTTAACATGCTATGGGTGACCTACTGTGCTTCCTTGCACAGGGTGGTTTAGATATAAGAGCTATACAAAACATGTTCATTTTTGCACAAAATCATTCTTAGATAAGATTTTGGTCTGGTCAGTTCTGCCTATTTTGAGCTCCTTTCAGAGTGAGCAATTTTTGGTTCCTTTGCTACTATAATTTATTCTATAATTGGTTGAAAATGAGATTTCTGATTTACTATTCAAAAACCAAGTGGTTTCTGAATAATAAGACAACAATAAAGCACTTGTCTTTTCCAGCAGCCAATATAAAATGCATACAACAGTAAACCCAGATGACCAAACGTGCTGGAGCTCAGTGTAGGTGCTAGGTGACGGGCTGGGCTGGGCTGCTAGGTAACAAAGTGTCTGTTGAATGTAACTTTCAAATAGGGAAGTTTTTGAAATGATCCATGTTCTAGACAGCAAAAACCATTAACTTATTGCCAAAAACCACTGAGTGACTTTATTTTTACTTGCTTGGGTTGTTGTAGAAGCAGTTGTGATCCAAATAGAAGTACAAAAATTAGCAAAAGGTGAATTTTGCTTTCATTTAAATCCTATCCTGGATTTAAATGAAAATCCAGGATAGGACAGTAAGAAAAAGAGCCCAAGTATGGTTGCTCGGATGAAAAAAACAAAAAACATCTTTGTTCTATCTAAATTAATATGGTTGCACGAGTTGCGATTGTGAGCTAGGATAGACATGAAACAGATTTCTGGAATAATGTAGTTACTGTATCTTACCTGTTAGGCTGTGTTGCAAATTTACAGGTTTGCAGAAATAGACCACAAATTAGCACAAATACCGGCTTAGACGACTTGTCAAGCAAAAAGATGGAGGGTTGATGAAACGTCATTATCTCAATCATGAACAGGTTGCTTGTGTTCCAGAGTCAATTTAAGTTTCCCTTGTAGCAAACTGATTTGTCAATAAATGAGTACAGACTTTAAATGAACAGTGTGCAAGACAATAACATAAAGGAACATGACAAACTATGAGTAAGATTTCACTGCAATCAGAAACGTGCCTTAGAACTGACACCTCAATTAGATGACCTCTTTCAGCAGCAGTCGTCCATAAAAGCTCCAAAAACAGATTTTCCCACTTATGTGGGTACATTCTGGAGAAAAAAAAATTTAACCAGACACTTCATCGAGGCTCTGATGCCGGGGGACGGTTTAAGAAATTGTGTGGATTAATCCATGCTACAACTGAACATTTTGACTTCTTTACTTGCAACTTCTGCACAACCGAACTTCAACTACAAAATTGCTGCAAGAAAATAATGATGGCTTGACAAAAAAGATATGATCTTTTTAGCAGTTCCACAGCAAATGTGGTGATGTCATAGACAAGAAAAATGTTACAATGAACAGAGAAAAATGAATAGACAGAAAAATACATTCCAAAAAAACAATATAAAAATAGCTATGCAGAACCAGGAGAGAATAAATTTACATTTTTTAAACTCAGACACAAAGCACACAAAAAATGAAGTGCAAAAAGAGTGAATTTTACATAACATGTAAATTGTTATGTAAGCTTTAGTGGAAGCATGCCAGTTTCATAAAAACTCATGTTTTTTGATAAAGGTTTTGCGCTCAGATGTGGGTTTTTTCAGTCGTATGAAAATTTATGTATTTCACAAAACTGTACATTTGTAATGTAATCTACTTACATGAGATACACATTTCAGCTAGGTCTATAGTTGATATGCCCTTCAAAAACAGTGACAGAATCTTGCATGATTTCTTAACCTTATTTATTAGACTGTTTTATACACTGATCATAAGCAGCATTTTTACAGCACATCTGATTCATCTCAGAGTTTACCAAATTTCCCAAGGAATTACTTGTGAAGAGACAACAAATCAAAAACAAGATTAAGACAAACAATAAAAGTACATTAAGACAACTTAGAATAATGTGATTAAAATTTGTTTCTGCAAAGTGACATTTCCTTTGTTGTTTTCCAAAAAGAAACCTTCAATCATCAGCTCAGTAACTTGAATCTTCTGGCTTTGCTTTCTTTGGCTATACAGTGAGAAGAGGTCTGTTTTAGTTATACTGCTGTGACAGTTTGTTTTGATTGTGAGATAAAAAAAATGTTAAACCTAAAAAATAAGAAATAAAAGAAGAAATTACAGTTATGTTGAGAGAATGACTATTTTATTACTTTTATTTACTTTCACTTTGATTTCAGTTGGAAAGGCTTGACTAATGACCAATTGAAATGTCATATTTTCTAAATTATTATCATAGATGCACTGTAAATGAGCAACCATGCTCATTGCAAATGAGCAACCATTTACAGTGCAACTCAAGGTTAGGTATTTTTACTTGAAATATGTTCATACGAAGTGTAAGAAATGGGTGGAATGAGTGGAAAAATATTATAGACACAAGGAAAATTCTATCTTCTAATAATTCAGTTTTTTTTGTTTGATGGCTCCCTGTTTAAACCAGTCACATTGGTGACTCACCCTGTGGCTCAGGGAATCTGTCCACACCAGTCTTTGATTTCCTTAAAGACAAGTCGGGTCAAAAACTGTGGAAAAAAACAACAACAAAAGATGAGCCACTATTCAGTACAGGCAGTCATCATAACAAACAGAAGCCAGAACAAAGAATTCAACCTCTGCTATTAGAGATTTTATAAATTAGTGATATTGTAGCTTTAGTTCTGACCAGGCAGGCTAAGATGTCAGCAGAGATGAGCATGTAGAAAACATTGTTCCAGCCAGTGGGTGAGATCAAACCAGCCAACAAAGGACCCAACGCTGCACCTGCAAAAATCACATAAAAACATGTTTGCTGTTGTCGTCAGTGAGCAGAAACGGTAACACTCTATGTGAATAAGACTGATATAACACTGTCATAAACATGAATATTTATGACTGTTATCATAAAATGTCATTTAGTAAATAATGGCACTTTTAATACAAAGCTGTCATTATGCAAAATGTCTTTGTTATGACAACTTGGCATTAACCAAGAATCATCATCCGTCATAAATACGTCATAATAATTAATTTTCAAAATTGAAAATATTATAAATCTTTGTTTATTATTACATTACCATTTGTTGGTAGTCTTAACTGTGACAGTTATGAGGTCATTATAAGGGTATGATTAACATTGGACTAGTTACAGATGTCATTAAGTGTTATTATACTGCCAAAAGCTTTATCAACATATCAATATCAACAGCTTCTGAGCAGTTCCAGACACTTTTAAAGATCTTCTTCCAGGAAATGAAGACAAGAAGATTTCCCTGTTTTTAGTGACTTACAGGAAGGCTATAATGAAGGAGATGGCTGACTGTTGAAAGAACCTATTTTCTTAAGTTAAAGAAAAAGTAATTCTGTTTTAGTTTTTCAATCAGTATTTCAGAGTTACAATATACTGACCAGAGGCTTAACTGTTCTGCACAAGAAGTGCAAGCAATCCTTGCACTAAAATGTACAAACCCTTTGTGCATTTTATTCCAATGTACAAAGGGTTTGTTCTATAGCTAAGATGGTAGTTATAAATGGTTAATAACTATTATAATATATTTATGACGGGTAATGATTCTCTGTTAACGTCAAGTTGTCATAACATTTTGAAAGATCTCAACTTTACATTAAAAGTGTCATTATTTACCAAATGACACTTTATGACAACAGTCATAAATATTCATGAAGACTTGTGTTATGTTTATGACAGTGTCATGTCAGTCTTATTCACACCCCGTCAAATAAAATGTTACCGCAGAAACCCCTAGGGCTGGGCGGTATGGCTTAAAAGTTAAATATCCGATTTTTTCTTACCAAATCCGATTTTTATTTTTTTTGTCTTACTATCTTTCTAAAAAAGACATAAATATTTTTAAAAAGTAGCTTTTATTTCAATCTCATCTGTGACTTTACTTTGGAATATTATTGCCAAGCTGAAATATTTTTTGTTTAATTACATAATTAATAGCAGAAGAAAAAACGTCTTAAAATTACAAGAAATAAACCTCCTGTTGAGTTACATTAAGATTTGACATAACCACTTAGTCCAAGTGTTACTTGGAAGAGAACCATTTGTGGTTTGCACTTGGAAAGCTGACATGAACAGGTCTTATGTTCATATAAAATGACTTTGTTTTTCCATTAACTTACTAAAAATGTAAAATGATTTCACTTGCGTTAGAAAAATCTAAGTTTCAAAATATGAGGGGATGTATGGTTTTTACAATGCATACCTATTGATCCAGTGCCGTCAATGATTGCAGTAACAGTGGATAAAGCTCTGGAGTTTCCTCTCAGACTCTCGTGTGTTCCCTGCAATAAAACAGAAATATTATGTCTATCAGGCTTTAAAGTCTAATGCACAGAAATAAGACGAGGAAGCACAGGATCTAATGTTATGATGTTTTGAGATCTTACCAGATCAGCAGATACAGCTGTGGTGATCAGGGCGTATGGTCCGTTCACCAGGCCTCCACACAGCAGCAGCATACCTATAATTGAAAATGTTCATCTCAATTCTTTCATACATTAAACTCAAAATATATTTAAAAATCTAACGGCTTCACATGTCAAATGTTCTTTTAGTCGACCTCTTTTCAGTTCAAATAAAGCTTATATCTCTAACTCTTTATGCCTGAGAATCAAGTCTGGACTCTTTCATCTCTTTCAAAAGAACACAAAGTTTCTTTTATTAATTTTGAAGAGTCAGAATTATGGACAAAAATAACACCATGAAGAAAGCACATGCTCCATCAATAAATAAAATCACAGAGAACCATCCAACCCAACAATCAATTTATAGATGTGTGACATTGCATAATATGCTGCTTCTCTCAGATGCCGCTTCCTGAAGAAATGTCATTTCAAGCCATGTTTTGTTGTATTGGCCATAAAAGTCTTTATTCTGAAAGCTTTATGTTTATTTAAAAACCAATCAGAGTTGAGATAAACATGGTTATTACCTTTCACAGATCAGGGGAAAGTTGTTTTCTCATCAAAAGTTTGAAGTCTGTGCATGTATTATTTAGGTAAAGCAGATAAAACATCCGCCTGAAAATTTGTGTCAAAATAATATAAGAACCAGAATAAATGCCTCTTACCAATTGTGATCCCTAGGCTCTTTTGTCCCATGTAATTATAGACGAAAAGCTGGAAGCAAAACGAACAGGTGTAAATAAAATAGAAAGGTCAACATTACATATGGACTTCTAATATTTTAATACAAAATACCATCAACAAATTTCCCCTCAGTAAACATGGCTTAGAGTAAATTTGTATTTTTTGGATATCTGGACCTAAATTTTATACTTGTAAAAAAACTGGTTTCTCCCATTAGGTTTTACTCCATTTCTCTACGTAGCTCAGTATTTTCAATAAAAGGGGTAAAAATGTCATGATTTGTGGTGAGAAGTGGTGAGGATGACATTGAAGACCCAGGTTGGAATGACAGAATGATGTTTTGATCATTCAAAAACACAATAACCCAGGAAGCCAGATGAGCAGAAGACTAATGCTCACAACTGGTAGCACCTGGAACAAATGAACCAAACCACAGACTTCATATCTCTTTAAAGCAATTTATAGTGTCATCATATTTAACGTGTCAAGTAACTAAATGCTCACGACTTATAATGGCAAATTGTTGCACAAACTCCTCTCCAACAAGGGACACCACCATAAACTAGAGGGCCCTTTTATTACAGCCAAACAGTAGCGCGTAAGTCTCATTATGAAAAGACACCCGAAAAGACAAGGACCCGACGAAGAAGAAGAAACACAGGTGGGATTAAATACGCCGGGTGACAATCAGGAGAAACAAAGGTCAACTGGGGACAAACAAGGGTTGGACAGGACAACACAGAGACTCAATTAACTGAAAATGACATAAAAACCTAAATTAACACAGAGAAAAACCCAAATCCTCACAAAAAAAAAAGATAATGTTCTCAAAACACACTCTGCAGTCATATTTGTTAAATTAGAATATGTATTAAGGTGTGGCTTGTTAATCAGATTAAAAGGATGATCGGTTACGATTGTCGGAAGTGACAATCTTAGAACTCAGAACGTTCTAAGATTGTCGTAAGGGCAAAATTGGGGCAAAAAAATCGTGTAGTGTGAACTGGGCTTATGCCCAGGCGGTCTACCTTATGGTAGACCGCCTTAGTCAAACATGTAAAAAATAAATTGTAGAAAGTTTTCTTTCAAATATTTCAGAAAGTGCAGTTAGGAATTCTGAATATAATGAAAAATAAATGACGCCGTTTAGAACAAAAATCAGAATTAGATTGAATACGTCTGCCCATATATGGATGGGCATGTTGTCACTGATTCCTGGTCTAGCTTTTTGTTCAATATCAGAACCGATACAGGTAAGATTAGATCAGTGCATCAACATCTGATTGCCTGGTTTTGCTCCAAACCAGAAGATGGAAACATGGCTAAATTGCATTTTATTTTTGCAGTTTTCTAAGTTTTCTTAAAATTTCCTTTACAATTTGATGGAAACCAAATCAATTCAGTAAAGTGTGTTTCTATATCATAATGTTGCTAAATGAGAGATTTCTTACCATAGGTGCAGCAGCAATCAGCATGACACAGCAGGTTGATGCTCTTCCCCCAGTGAAGTCAGACACCAGGCCGGCCATGATGCCTCCTGTGGACACAAAGGAGGCATCTGAACTGATACAAAGGATTCATTTGACTGTCTTTGCATTCTTAGACAACAAAAAAGTATCATACAAAAGGTGTTTTTAACTGTCCAATCAAAACCTACCAAGGATCCCTCCTACATCAAATAACGTTGACATGTCTCCTGCTTCTTTTGCTTGAAAATGTGCTGAATAAAAACAAAGAATTCACATATTAAACATACAGTTACATACAGTCTACAGTGTACTAGAAGACAAGATTTTGCATTGCATAAAAATTGTGCATAATTTCCTTCCTTTCTTCTACCAGACTATTTGAATATATAATATTTGGTTTGGCTTGACTTTATTGAATGTAGAGAAATAAAAGAATAAACAAAGTTATATACAAACAAATTTAACACAAGAGCAAACAAAAGAAGAACAGTAGTAAAGTATATTTACACATTCAAATGTGTGAGTAGAAGTATGTATTTATTTTTTACTCCATCGTCCAACAATTTACTCTTCAGGTTAACTCTGTTTTAGAGTTTCTAATTATTTTCTATATCCATATCACTGTAACTAGTACAGTTCATTCATAATTGCTTGCCCATATAAACAAGCATAATTATAACATATTAAAAATGTACTTCTAAATTAAAAAATGATAATACAGAAATATTTTGACAACTTCATTAAATAGAAACAATAACATTATTATTTATATTGCATGTATATTACATGACTATACATGCATGTATGAGTGTACTTATGTATGTATATTCATATGGACAGAAGATATCTTTTATGACAATAGGCTGCTACGTATATAAAGAGGGTAGGCAAGTATAAGCTTTGGCTTCAGCCTATCCCTTTTTTGGTAAATTTTGGGTTTGTTTATTGTTGTTGGCCTTGTTTCCTGTGTTTAATGTTGACAATTTACCAAAATACAGTGAACTGAAACTGAAAACATTTATAGGAATATAAACCAGGTATTTACATACATTAATAACAAAAAAGAAACATAGCCTAGGGTTTCCCCAAGAAAACTTTCTAAGCCTTGTGGTCGGGGTGCCTAGGCGGTCTCCCGTGTTTTTGCATTAAAAGATGTCAAGTTGACAGAAAAAGTTTTTCTGATCTTTGCGTACGCAGCAACTCTGCCTAAGTGTAAGTAGACAAAGCATTTTATATAGTGCAGTTTGAAGCATCGTCCCACCAATAATAACATGCTGATAAGTTGAGTGTGAAAGTTCCTCCACGGACTGGGCCACCGGCTGATTAACGCACAGTCTAACAAAGAACATGTATATGAACTCTATCAGTGCAGACACACAGTCATGGTGAACTTGAGAGATGCAACCACGAGGCAGCCAGCCTCACAGTTGCATCGGCTGTATTGGTTTATCTAGGCTTTGTGCTTGTATAAACCGACTGATATTTCAGGAGCGATTTTGCTCTGCCAGTGAAATGCTCAATGCAGCAAAGACGCTTGCAGCCACTTGTTTATGTGGGGAAAATAATAAAAAGAAAGAAAAAAATAATAATTTTGATAGTGATAGTGGCTCACATTAGTTTTCTAATGTAAGCAAAGTTTAGGTCGAAATCTAAAATGTGTGAATAATACTGACCAACATTAGAAATGTAGAGAGGAAGCCAGTAAAGGAAGGTGTAGCTGACCAGTTTGGCAAACATGAGGCAGAGAGAAAACTCCACCACTCCCTGTGGGTCACATAAAGGATCAGATTAAGCATTTTAATGATACCTCTCTCACTGTGCTGCAATGAAAACATGCTACGGATTTATACTATGGTTGCTGGCTTCAGTTGGGTTTGTTATGGCTTCAACAGCCATAACAAACCCAACTGAGGAACTTGGAAAAAGAAGGAAAATCTCAAGTTGAGGACAAGGTGAAGAAGTTCTAATGCCTGTCATGGTATCAAAAACATAACAAAATAGATTTAATAATCAGTCTCCAGTCATGCAAAATCTGTGGATCCCTGCTTTCAAAAACATTGGGTTTAAGTGAGTAATAGCTCCCACCTACAGGTGGCACTATTTCTTGTTCCTTCTATGCTGCTGCCTCAGACTTACTTGATGTTGAGTTACAATCTGAATTTCCATTACAAATGAGCACAAAGCTGTCAATATTCTGCTAATGTCGAAAAATGAAAATGTTGGTATTTTCATTAAATATGAAACATAATTAAAATCACGCATGGATACGTTTGTACACACAATAAATTATTAAAAAGCAAGGTGCGCCATGATCCTCCAACCACTTCCTGTTAACCTCATCTTTGTGGTTTGTGCCAGTGGAAACTTCCAGTTGTTGATCATGTGACTCGTGTGATGCAAACACAGTTCTGACAAATAAGCCTATTTTGCTGTAGACAAGGAACCACTTCATCCTAGAACAAAAACTTATCAAAAAATTATCATGAAAAAAAACCAATTTGACAAAAGAAAAAAACAAAAAATTTGAAATGTCAAATTGCACAATTATATGGTTAATGGAAACACTGCTACTGTTTGTGATTGATATGACAAGTAATAAGAACTCACATTTACAATAATAAACAAGAGCGAAGGACCGAACAAAGCAGCATCCCACTGTTCTCCATTAAAGTAGAGGGAAATTATTTTGCACACCTTGCAATAAGGTATTTTTGTATGGGGGTTAATGAGAAACAAGTATTGCAAAATTTCTTGCAATTATTTGTTAAGTAGCACTACAAAATCATTCCTGCCAAGTTTTGGATTTGAGAATACAGAAAATGTTGTCACCAGGGGTGGAGAAAAGTTAACCCGTAAGAACTTTGAGGTAGAGTAATTGATGGGAGAGGGAGGTTTGTCGGAACAAACAGAGAGCGTGAGCATGCGGCAAAATATGGGATATTTACGGGAAAATAATAATACGGGAGCACTGTGGGAAAGGGGGATAAAATACGGTAGTTTCCCAGCCAAAATGGGAGACTTGACAGGTATGCACAAAATCAGTGATTTGGATTGCAAAAATGAATTGCATGAAATCCTGGAGGGACCATTCATTTCTCAGCTGAATATGCAAACAAGAAAACAACATGGTAGAAATTCTGTGGCAGTTAGACCTCTAACTTACATGAATCAGGGTTTATAACCAGTTCCTGGTGCCAATGTTAATCTTTTGTTGGTTTTCAGATCGTTCCTGTGTTGTTTCCATTGAATCCTCTCCTCAAGGTCTTACAGATGTTATTGAAGTCACATTATTTTAAACAAGGAGGGAAAGTTCTTTTTTTTTTTTTTAATTAAACACACTGAGTCAATGCAGTTTGTTACTTATCATTGTATTGCTTTCCTGGTTAGTTTTGAGGGTTTTTTATTCAATTTATAGTCTGTCAATCAGAATTGAGTAGAGTGAAAAGCTTCATAGATATACACTACCGTTCAAAAGTTTGGGGTCACATTGAAATGTCACTAAAAGCACTGTACTTTTCAATGAAAATAACTCTAAACCAGTCCTAACTTTAAAGAAATACACTCTATACATTGCTAATGTGGTAAATGACTATTCTAGCTAAAAATGTCTGGTTTTTGGTGCAATATCTTAAAAATATACACATAGGTGTATAGAGGCCCATTTCTAGCAACTATCACTCCAGTGTGTTTGCTCATTGGCTCAGAAGGCTAATTGATTATTAGAAAACCCTTGTGCAACCATGTGCACACATCTGAAAACAGTTTAGCTCCTCACAGAAGCTACAGTACTGAATGGGGTGACCCCAAACTTTTGAACGGTAGTGTAATTAAGCCTAAAACCATTCATACCCTTACAGTTGACCCAGGCTTAAAGTAATCTTTCAATTTCAGCCACATATTTTCTCTGACGGGAAGTAACAATGTTCACAACTTGAATTTTATGGAGAATCCAAGGAAGAAGCTAAAGATTTAGGTGATGGAGGGAGATCCACCAACCTCAGAGCCATTGGTAAAATAAAACTTGATCATGTCAAATGGAAACGGACCTTCTACTACAATTTTAAATGTGCAATTTGTCTTTCAGATCACTACATGGAGCCAAAGACTCTGGCTGCAACATTTAAGCGGCACAATAATGTCTTATCTGGAGCAAAATCAGATAAATCTTTTTTTTTTTATCAGTTAAATTCAACTATTTATGCTTACAGGTATACAAAGAGCCCCATAGAAGCTTATGGCCTCAGAGTGTTCCTGTCTGATCTTCGGAGTCTCCATGGAGACGGTGCCATTGATGCTTCCGTTCCCGTTTTGCAGAAGAGACTCGGTCTCACCGTCCTCCAGAATGATCTGACATACAAACACACAGCTGTGAGCTCAGAGATGAATGGTTCAGGAAAAAAGGAGAAAGCAGGAATGCAAGTTATTGATTAATGAGTTAATCTACAGTTGATTGACCTTATCGATTAATTGTAGATTAATTGGTGGCCATTGTCTTAAAAGCTCAACTAATTTTCCATAACAAACAAGACTACATTTCTTGTAATAAGCCGAATAATATCGTAAAATGTTGACTCTTTTGTATCAGATTAATTAGATACTGACTGAATTAACAGAAAACTCAAGTTTTCTCACATTCTTAAACTTAAACATACACATAAAATACATTTTCCATCCCATACCAGAATGTGTCTGGACCGTAGTATGGCAGACATCTTTAATTCTGTATTAGGGGCTCACACAGAGAGCCACTAATACAGCAGAGACCACTGGCGCTCTCTGCTGTACGGCGGCCAAACTACAACATCAAAAGGAAGTCTGATGTATGTTAATACATTGGAACTAATTTTAAACATTTTAACCACTAATCTGCAATTATCGTAAATTAATTCATTTTTGCATCCCTAGTAGAAGTGCTTAATTCAATTTCAATTCAAAAATACTGTAGTGATCCCAAAGGGAAATTAAATAGTTTTTGTTAAAACTCACATTGTGCTGAGGAGAAGAGCAGTTCACATCTTCAGGTTCTGAAGTGAATAGAGAGTGAGATGATGGTGTCACAGTTACAAACAGAAAAAACCCAAATTGATCCAAAATAACAAAACGACTCTTTACAGAAACTGACTTTCAACCAGGAAACAGAAGCAGAGGATCCCAGCGGCAGTGATGATAAGTCCTGGGACAATGAAGGACATCCCCCACTGTGAGGAGACGAAAACCCCAGCAATGAGGGAACCTAGGATATTTCCCACTGAGGTGTGGGAGTTCCAGACGCCCATGATGAACCCACGCCTGACCATTAGAAAGAGAAAAACAAGAAACTCTGAACAGTTAGCTGGACAATCCTGCTTCTGGTGTATATTGTACATAATAAACCAGGGTTGTTCAAAGTGTGACACAAGGCCACTTGCAATGCTTTGAAGGAGTTTGTGTATCTTCTGACAGAAATAGGAGAATGGTTTAAATGTGTCCCTCCAGCATATGGAGCCAATAAACATTTTTGTAAGTGTTTTAGGATAATATTTCAAAGGTATTTTATATTGTACAATTTAAATACAAGACAAAGAATAACTTTTTTGACAGTTTTTTCTATCTTTATTTTTATTTTAGATGAAGTCATGTAAAAACATTTAGTGAGTTTGTTTTTTTAGTTTTTTTTTACACACATTGGCAGCCATTACTCTTGATAAACTCCACTGAGATTGTAAAAAGGCAATTCACATTTTTATTACTGGAAAAAAACAAAACATTTTCCAGAAAAACAAGATTTAATAACTGTAAACATCAAGGTAAATGTCATAATAAAAAAAAATTACCTGTTTTATTGTTGTGCATGTAAAGGAGAAAGAATCACAATAATATTGTTTTTGGGGTTTTTGATTGAAGAGAAAAAGCTCATTTTGATTCCTGGGAACTTTCAACTTTCATTTTAGGCCTAATTAATGTTCAGTATTGCAATATTGCAGAAATGCAAATAATAATCGTTTATCGTTCCAAAATTGTGTAATTTTGATCCACTCTTCTTTGCAGAATTGTTTTAATTTAGACACACTGAAGGGCTTTCAAGCATGAGCAACCAATTTAAGCCCATGCCATATTATCTAAATAAATCCTAAGCACAGATTTTGTCGATGTTCCTGTTAAACTTTCTTTTTCTTTTAAACCACTCCCTGGTAGTGCTTTGATTCAATGTCCTGCTGCATAACAAAGAACTGTTCTTGAACAAAATAATAAAAAAAATATTCAAAAGGCTGGAATTGGCTTCATGTTATATTTCAGTGTAGATATTCCTGCTGCAGTTTATTTATTTATTATTTATTTTTGCTCTGTCTTGCATGGTTTAAGTAAAAAGGGCTCTGTGCCTGGAAAATATATTGTATTTTACATTCAATTGTTATGAAAATACTGTTTATAACAAACATAATATAAAATTAATTTGACTTCCAAATCTTAATGCCTTGAAATTGGGGCTGTGTCTCTTCCTATTTCCAACACTTTGCCTTCAGGAAGTTACCACAGAAATATGTCTTTTACAACTGTTCTTGAGAGTGTTAGACTGAGAAGTACTTCCTATGATAAGCTTAGCAGATGCATAATTCCACCTGCTAACTGCTGCTACTGCTAGTCTACAGGAGCTTTATATAAATAGGCGGCGCTTTGTGAGAACAAGCATTCTGCAAACATGAATGGTTGCCAAAGGAGATTCAAGGATTTCTCACTCATGCATGAAAAAAAAAAAACAAGGCGACACTCCACATAAGGTTTGATGAGGGAATAGCTCAAGTTAATTTTACAAAAGGCTGAACAATAAGTCAATAACAAGATATGTCGCAAAAGACACCAGATCAATATCAATAGATTATTCGTCTGGTAGAATTTTTTTATAATTCCACTAAAGTCTGATGCAGAACCAAACAGCATTCTGTTGGAAAGTCTTTAGCCACTCAGCCTCTCCTAACCAGCTAAGCTAGTCAGGAGAGGCTGACTAGGTTGGTGAACTCAACTAAATAACTCCCTCTTTTGTTACCTAGCAACAGCCGTTAACTTGTGCAGCAGCACCAGACTGGTGCCATCTACTGACTCAGCAGAACAGAAAATCTCAAAATCGGCTTTAAAAAACTCAACTAAGTATTCTTTATATATTTCGATTTGTTTTCCACTCTCTCTCTGTTCAATCATTTTGAATTCATCTTGAAACAGAAAACCAACACTGACACCAGGCATTGTCCATGTGAAGCTGTCATGGGTCAGTTGATTTCAAATTTGTGTCAGTATGAACCATTTAAATGTTGGTAATTTATTGCAGTGCTGTTAAAACGTGATAGTGTTGGATTTAGTCGACACCAAACTCTGCAGAGTCAGCAGAACTGCCTCCCTCTACTCACTTCCCTTTTCCGAACCAGTTGCCGACACAAGCCACCACAGCGGGCCAACCGGTAGTCTGCATGAGCCCGTTCATCACCTGCAGTGTCAAACACAACAGAAGTCTGTTTTAATTAGTTTACAGCTGGAAACTGAACATGAATAGGTGAATGAGTGGAGAAGGACTCCTATTGTCTCCAAAGCTGCAGAACATGAGTCCAGACATGCATGAGCAGTCATGTGGCTCCCTGTGAGTCATGTGAGTGAAGACTCACAGCTTTGCATTTTATTTAGGGAAGAGAACCTAAAACCAACAGCTACAACGCCTACAATGAAGTGAACATCTTATTAATGAGTTCATTTATTCTTAATGTTGACGTCATTAAATTTAGTACTTTTTAACATGTTTTTGAACAGGTGTTTGGCTTCTAACTTCACTTTCCCCTCTGGGAAGTCATGTTTGGAAATGAAGCACGAATGACTCCTCAAAGCTACACTTCAAATACAAACTAAAAACAAAGGATATTTTGTTTCTCCAGTTCAGCAGACTGGATTTTAACACTTCAAGCACACTTTGGAACAAAACCTAAATCAATGGTTTTCTTCAGTTTTTCTGTCAGATGACATTTCAACAAACAACTCAAAAACAATCTTCGCTTATTGAGCCATGTTTTAATCAGGATTAAACACATAATTGGAGAGTTGAACTAAAATTTCCATTTGAACATTTAACTCAAATTTTAACTTTACATTTGAGTATTTACATTAATCAACAAAAATTTAAACAACAAATTTATGACAATACAAAGTTGCAAATCATCCCAAAAACTGAATAAATGTACCAAAGGTTGAACAATCTTTGGTACATTTTTAAGTTAAGAGTATCACCTGTCTTTTAGGTTAAGCCTGTGTGCGATAGGCTGATCTCTAATCGGGTATATGAGAGAGCAACCTATCTCCCATACATATAGGTTGATTTGGATACTTCTAATCAAATGAAAAGGTCATTTTTATATAGTCAGGCTTTCTGTTACAGTAAGGAGCTGAATTAAGTCAACTGTAGGAAACAATGTTACTGTAAGAAAAGACAAATAAAAAACCCAGCAAAACTGTTAAATTAAACAAGTGTTTTGCTATCTCTTGGGAAGTCAAACTAATTTTCAGGTTTTTAATCACATTTATAAAAATACTTTTTGGTTTTAAGCAAAGCTAAGAAGACTTTTTTATTGAAGACTTTAGTTTCTATCTGGTTAGTGGTTGAAGGCTTTTTAAATAGCGAAGTGAAACAAAACTCTCCTGACGATGCCTTTTGGTTGCAGTGGTGCTCGGAGTGTGCATGCACAAAAAGTTTCTGCCAAGCTGAGTGATAAATGAAACCTGGCTGTTGTGCTCTGACCTGACTTTGGTCAGCGAAAAATAGCTTGTCTGATCCATGTGCTTCTGCTTTCTACTTAGATTGTGATACCCAGTATGGAGACAGAATCCTTTGTAGTTGGATTTAATAATTTTAGAATATTAAAAGTCTCAGTTTACAAATACAGATCAAAGGTTTGCCAAACTGCAGAATAATTAAATCATATTGCCTAGGTAACTCAAACTAAGAAAAGTGTAACATGTCATCATATTTCCAAACAGGTCTTATATCATCTATCAGTCTTTGTATGTGTGCGCGCGCGTGTGTGTGTGTGTGTGCGTGTGTGTATATGTTTGTGTGCGTGAGTGTGTGCATACCTGGACGAAGGCGTAGTACCCTAAAGAGTGGATGTTCCAATAGTAGCCGAGGCCGAACAGACAAGTAAACAATCCGCTCATCACCATCCCGAAGCTCAGGTAGTACCGCAGAGGAAGGCGCTCTCCAAAGATCCCACTGGGGAGAGAGAAGAGCCCCCGAGTGAGTCAGTGGAGAAACCCAGACCTTTAATCTGGAGAGCTAAAAGCAGCAGCTACCAACCTGAAGAACATGCCAATGGCATAGGCGATGAGGAAGGAGTTATCCAGGACACCAAAGAGGGTCTGATAGTTGCCCTGATCTGCAGGAAGGCCACAGGTAAACTGTTTTAATCTAGTGACATTTGACATTGAATAGAATAGACACCCGTCTGTATTCTCAAAACTTGTAATGTTCGTACTCAGATCTTTCTCCACGCGCTCTTGCAGAGCTCTCTGCTCACTTACAAAACTGTGAATTGCTTTTGGAATCGATTTTCAGAAAGGTTGGCTGGCAACCTCTGAGCCAATAGAATGAAAGTGTTGTACTGGGTGCATTTGTTTCCTTTTAGCAGGTATGCCTGTGTGGCTACTATTGATTGTAGCAACTTGCGCCACCAACTGGATGTAAGGAGATGGTTAGTGAACAAACTCCTGACTAAGATTAGTAAGCTGTTAGCGACCTGCAGCACACTGCTGGCGGATGTTTAGTGTAACACAGAGCAGAAAGCTGAGGCTCTTGTTTCTCCCTACATCCAGTGGGAGGCGCAGGTTGCTACAATTGATGGTAGCCACACGCACCCAGAACAACACTTTCCTTCTTTGGCTCTGTCCTTAGCCAGCTGTGAGCTAATAGCAGCCATTAGACACATTAGACACAAAAAAACATGTTTGTGTGATTGGGGGAGCTGAGGCTCAGTGAATTAAGGTGCTCACAAACAGATGTATGGTGTTGAACAAATGTTCAACACCATACCCTCGCCAAATAGTCAGAGAAGAGCAAATCCATTTAACCCTGTGTCCACATTGCAATTAAATCACTCATTTGTAAAACTGAGTAAAGCTATCAATCAATACTTGCCACTCACTATGACAACCCTTACTACTTCAAATTCTGAACAGGCAGACAGGAGAACAAAGGTGGGGCGGGAGAGAGTGATGTGCTTTTATATCAAAACCGGGGCCATGATGAAGTTGCACCAAACTGAAAATTCAATTGTCAAAGAAATCTAGTAGTAAGACACTCTTAGGCAATAAAATGCAGAACTGAACAAACTGCACAAACATATCAAAATGCACACATGAACATAAAGATAGAACCCTAAATAACCTTTTAGACAGTTCATCAGCAAAAATGTTGATTTGAGGGATGGTTTCTGTTGGATCTGAACCCAAACATCTATCAAGCATTAAATGAAATAACAAAAGAGACAGATGATTGAAGATGGAATACACTTGAAGGAACAGAGAACATAGTTCTGACATCTTCTCTGTCCATCTTTGAACTATGTTCTGCCAGCGTTCACTACGAGGTGCTTATTTATTACCAATGAGGGAACAAATCACTTTCAGCTGTTTAGAGAGAGGAGGGGCAAAAGGTGAATATAGCTATCACATTTCAGTCACAAGTCTCTTCAAACAATGGTGCTATCCTGCATCCATGCAGTTGCTGTCTTCAAGCACAGGCCCCCAAGATCCTGTGTGTGCAACTGAGGTTCTAAAAACAGTTGTTTGTTGTCTCTAAGGGCCATAAAACTTCTGCACTCAGGTTCTTCTAGATCATAAAACCAGAGTTTCTCAGGACTTCTAGTCTTTGATCATTGGCTCTGCTAGCTATCAGCTTTCTGCTCCTCTTGTCAGGACAGCTTTTGTCTCCAAGCCATCTGTCTTCCACTTTAGCTCCCTTCCTGCTGCTACACACATCTTACACAAAGCACACACATTCTAGGAACAACAGACATAGATTCTCACAGTCCAAAGTATTTATATTTCACTAAAAACCCCAACAGTTTCACTTTAAAATGTGAAACTAACCCTTCTGCTCACACTAAAATAATGTGAGCAGAAAGCTCACATTATCACTCTATACAATTATAAGGTGGGTTGCATCTTATGGTAGCACCCATAAAGTGCCGAAAGGTTTTGTTTTGAGAGAGAAAAGATAAGAATTCGCAAACAAGCAGAGAGGTTTGCGAGCAGAGTTAATTCATGCCGAGACTAGTTTTACGAAGCATTTTTGAGCATGGGCACAAATATTTGAGAGAGCACAGAGAATATTTGAAGGAGAGCAGACGTTTTCAGTGCAAGCATTACAAGTTTTGAGAACAAAGAAATGAAATTCTGTTTTCAAACTGAAAATGTGTGCTGACTTATGGCATTAAAATTCCTCCCTACTGTGCTTTGTAGAAAGAAACACAATTCATTTCATTCATTTTTTAGCTAAAGATCTCATATGTTTCCTAAAATATCAAAAATCTTAAATATCTTTAACTATTTTGTCCTTAATATAGCTTGTTTCATATCAGATATCAAGAAACAATTCTAGAAAATTGTCTCAATTTATGCCAACAGTTGTCCTACTTTCATTCCTGTCTGGTCTACAGCCAATCAGATTGCCTTCACAGTTTGCCTGAAAGAAGCTTTGTGAAAATATACTACCTACATATAATGTAATTTAAATAAAGAACAGCACTGATTAATACTCACGTGGAACTGTTTAAGAACTTACCAAAAGGCGCCCACTCACACCAGGTATCATTATCAGTTATGTTGAGGTACGTTGGTCGAATGATGAATGAACAGTTTTTATGCAGTTCACTCTGAATTTCAAACAAAAAGTACAGAAACAGAACTAGATGAAATAATTCCCATACACAGGAACAGATAATTCAGAATGATGTAGCCACCTCTGTACTTCACAGTTGTGAGGGTGATTTAAGGCAAAGTGATCCTTCATTTAACTTAAATGTTGCAAGTTTAGAAAATCAGAAGCTATGATGTCATAATTTTGGCCAAACTGTTTATTAAATTCCTAACTAGGGTATAGAGATTTGGTTCATTTGTTCCTTATACAGCAGAAAATGCCCTAAAACAAGCTATTGGTCCTATTTTTTATTAATTCTTTTCTCACACACAATAGCACAATAACATAAGCAGTCATTCATACAAATACATTTATTTTCCCAAAATCCTGTAAGACTAACCCTATTTACAATTGCTTAGGCTAAATACTTTTTCTGCATCTGAGCATTGTCAGCTTATATCAGAGCAAGGTAAACACAATTTGCTTCATGATTAACCAACCCAAGTCACCTTAACAATGCTGATTGGCTTCCTAGAGAGGTGGTAGGCTGTGTAGAAGAGGAATGTGAGGAAGAGAATAAAGCCACGATACCTGAAACAGGAACAAATAAAACACAAGCTCGTGTAAGTACTGATTATTTACACACAGTTTGTCTTTATAAGTCTAATAAGTCATAAAGTAAGGTAAGACATAGACAAAAAAAGAGAACTTGTTTATAATTTTCCATTATTGCATTTAATAACATAAATGACATTTAGAGGAAATAACAGACCAGTCTGATGTGGATTTTTTTTTTTTTTCAAAATCTGGTCTTCTATGTCATTAAACAACAACATGAATTCACTGAAGTCACACAACAATAACATACACTATGATACAAGGTTCATAAATGAACTGGTATCTGAAGGATGCTTAAAGTGTTCAAGTTTTGTTTAGTGTCCATGTTTTGGAATGAGTAGTGTGAAAATCTACAGCCTACTACTTTCTAAAGAGTAAGTAAGTTACTATCTTGATCACATCACAGGCTGTTTTTTTCTGCTTCCACTCGTAAAGATTGCTTGGCCATCTTGGGTTGAATGTTTAATTCTCTATAAAGTATTCAAATGTGCTCAATTAACTTTTAGTTGAGAATCTCAGAAAATAAAATTTGGTTCCTTCAGGAATCAGTTGGAAAATCTTCATCTGCGCAGACAAAGCATCTGTATAGATTATAACATGTTATTATTGGGTCATTCCTGACAATAGCACTAAGTCAATTTTGCTCACAACACTAATTTTTCAAAGCCAAATATTTCTGAGCAATCGTCATTGCACTATGCAGATCTTGCAGTAAAGAAATGCATTGCCATCTTGGTTTTCCTAACAAATGAGAGTGGTTAGTTGTGTGGACAAGCTTTACTAATCCTAAAAAAATACTGGAATATACTGATGTCTAGTCTAACAAAAATATACTTGGATATGTCAAAACTGGCCAAAAACATAAAGCGTTTAATACTGTAAAATATATTTTAAAAAACTTGAAAATTAGAAAAGTGCATTTCCTGTTTTTAACACAATACTTTTTTGTTGTTTTTTTTAAACCTGCTTGTGGGCTGCACAGTGTCCTGTCTGTTTCTGTGTTGCCCTGCGACAGGCTGGCGACCTGTCCAAGGGTGTAACCCACCTCACTAGGGACAAGGGTGAACAGAAAATTGATCTTCTGCTTGTTGAGAAGAAACACTGACATGTAAGCAATCTGGTTGTATGGTAAATTATTATTTTTAATTAGGAAATATTTAATATTTACTATTTATATGATCAGTGATACTGAAACACTGCAAATCAGAAGTGACAAGGGCTGTTGTGTCAATAAAACATGCTAATATTTACATTAGCAGGGGACATTTATATGTTCAGCTCCTAATCCTTCGTTTCTATGAGGACAGCGGGGCTATTTTCTTGCTGATTATGAAATCCTAGAAAAACTAACAAAGTTCTAATAAATGTGTGAAGTTCTTGGTGAAGCAAAGCTGAGGTAGAACTTTGCAGAACAAAACATTCTCTGCTGGGATATATTTTAACATCCTGACTCCCAGGTTAATTAGCTCTTATTTCCTCCACATAATTTCTTTCAGAGATAATAAGGTTGTTCCTGCTTTATATTTCAAGAATGATGCCAAACCTTTTAAACATTAACAACCTGCAAATATGTAAAGGTCTACAGCATTATGAAGGTACTTGTCATATCGCTGTAGATGTTGACATAAAGTCATAATGTCTATAGCAACACTAGTTTATGGCTGCAATCTATCAAGCTTCTCAGAAACACACAAAGACAAGAATATGAACATCATAGAGCAGCACAATAATGCATTTTCAGTTTATAATGCATGCACTTTAATTTATGTATTTATCTTGATATTAAGAAGATTTTGTTTTTCAAAACAATGACAGTTTTTGCTGTTTGCCTGTTGAAAATGTTTTTCCTTAAGGTTACTGACAGTCATAATAAAATATTACTTTATTCTTTTAATGTACAGAACATGTTATTTTTCTTTGAAGGAAGTTTGTTTTTGTCTGTTTGTCCGTTGAAAAATGGTTTCACTTGAAATTACTGACAGATCCATAAGAAAATATTGCTTTATTCATTTAATTATTAAATAAGATACACTGTGTTGGGTTTTGGTTCAATAGGCTTTGTGCAATCATTTCAATATATTTTAATAAACATAGACCCAATCCGGCCGTCGGCTTGTAGCAAATTTGTTTTTTTGGCCCTCTGTGTATTTGACTTTGACATCTCTGCCATATCCCCTATCCAGAACATTACACACAGACGCTGCTCAGCCAGAGCAAACCAGATCTTCTCCAATTCCACTCATCTTCTCCATGCTCTGTTCATCCAGTTGGAGTCTGGCAGAGGAACAGCCAGACTCAGAAATACTTGCTTCCCGCTGATCACGAGATTGCTCAACAATACCATCACTTAGACTGCCTGAGACTATTGAAAATGCTAAGTTATATATATATTCAGCAATATTTTCTTATTTGTATATTTGTCCAATTATGATTACAGGCACAATTGTTTTTTTCTGTGTGCTCCAGTGGCCAATGAGGACATTTCCATTGCCAATTCCACTAATGTGTCTTTGTGCAACAACAATATAACAAGTCTAAGTCTATAGGTAATACGCTGGACAAAATGTATTTCTAAGTATAAGAAACTGTGAAAACCAAGTAGATTAATTCATTTCTAGAAAAAAAGTTTGTTTTTCTGATGGAAATGGCAAACTTGATTTTGAAAAATTTTAACAAAAGGCTTAACCACTTTCTTTTGTTTTTGTATGTAAATAAGTTTTTTTCTATAAATAAAATATTATAAATATGTTATTGTTTTCATGACTGACTCACTCAAAATGCATTTTCACACAATTAGAAGAAAACCTGTAATTACCATGGTCACTAATATAATTGTTTTTTTATTACAAATAAAAATTCAGATAACTATTTTTTTTGCTGATAATTGAAAGAATATTTGTAAAATTTGTATAAAGAATTTTTATCCATTTATTATGAAAGAGCTCACCTTAAATTATAACATTTCATGTTTTGTTTGAAAGTAACTTTTAAAATTATAATTTTCAATTATGTACAACAGAGTAGAAGAAAATCAGGTTCAACTGCTGAGTTTTTTAGATCATTTATAGAAACCTTTCGGCTTTTTATTTTTCTTAATTTTGTTTGTTACAAAGTTATAAGAGAATCTAGTTTCTAACCGATCCAAACAATTTTCTTGTTTTTTTTAAAAGTAACATTTGTAGAAAGGTGCTGCTGTAATCATGCACCAGCTGTGATCAGCCCCTTGTCTTCACGTCCTTGAATGAGTATCGACTCGTTAGAATGCAAATCTGACTCTAAGTTAATCAAATTAAGAATTTCGTCTCAAAATGTACTAAATGAAAGAGCTATACTACCAGATTAAAAGCACGTAATTATTAAATACTTCAACTCGCAAAGCGACCTTAAATAAATATGCAATAAACACTAAAGCGTTGAAGTCAACTGATTTACACAATCTATGTTGATCGATCAGACTGAGTAGATAATCTACAACAAGGAGATAATATAGAATCAGATAAAACTGCCTTGAAACCAAGTTGGCTCTGCAGAAATCAAAAAGAAAGACTTACCAGCTGTCTCGAGAGAAGGAGGTGATCAGTCGGATCCCGGGAGCCAGAGACCTCATTGTTGATCCAAACCGGTTCAATTCCCACTCAAACCGTCACAACTTGATCCCAAACATCATGTTCTGGGTGGGATAAGGCTGGTTGCAGGTAACTACAGATTTATAACTAAACACCCGAGAGGAAGCTTCCTGATATTTGAGTCATCGATGAGGGGAAAAAAACCGGAAGAATGATAAAAGCAGACGTTAGCTGCTGGAGGGGAAAAACGGTTGCAGTCCGGCTTCCAGTGTGGAGATGGAGTCCGACAATATCCAGCAGAGCTCCATAGTTAGCTTCTAAGTTTATATACAGCCGTGAGAAGAGTCACTACGTCCCTGAACCTGTCTTAAAACCTTACGGCGTGGAAAAACGTAAAGAACTACAAATAATACTCAGAAGATGAACTTCACCACATGATTTTCCAGGAGGAGCCTCCCGACGTCAGAAACAGTCTTTACGTAATCGCGTCACTGGAAATAGAACGCTGTATGGAAAGCTAATTTTACAAATAATCTAGTCACATTTCCTAACAATGACTAGTAAAAGATGGATACTTGCTTATATATTGTCTGTAACATTTTACATTAAGATTTTGATATAGTACACACAATTTCTATCACTTGAGACAAGTGATGGAAATTATGGGTGGATAAAAAGTTAATCCCAAATGTTTTATAATACCCCAAAGTAAAACATCAGTAGTGGATGTGTGTGCAATAGTAAATATATCATTCTTGTGAAAGGAAAAGCTAAAAAAAAAAAAAAAAAAAAAGGCTAAATCTTTAGTAGCAGCTGGAGAGCTGTGGTCTGTTGGTGGTCCATCATTCTGTCTCAGTTCCTCTTGGCACATATTCTTATTTGTATAAGAATATACAATGTTTGACTAAGTGTCAAACATTGGTGGTTATGTACTGTAATTATTAATTTGTAGATTGTAGAAAATTTGCAGATGACCACTGTACTAAATTGATAAAGATTAGATTTGATAAAGAACATATCTTGAGATGCTTTGCATGTTGGTGCATTATCCTGCTGGAGGTAGCAATCAGAAGATGGGTAAACTGAGCTCAAAAGGAAGTGAAAAAGATCTGCAAAAATATTCTGTGGCTTTCTGTGGCTAAAGTAGCACAAGTGAACTAAATGACATCCTCCACATCATTTCACCACCAGCAGTCTGAATCAGTAATGCAAGGCAAGATGGATCTATGACTTCTAAGTTGTTCAAGCCAAATTGCAACTGAAATTGATACTCCAATCTTGTATTACCATAGAGGTTGGACCTCTATGGTAATACCCATGTGGTCATCTAATTCAAGATTCAGTGTGGGCTTTCACTAACACTAATCCCCATTGTGTAAAAATGACCCAAACAGAGAGGGTTTAAGTCAGTGACTCCTCACCTTAATGGTCCTCACATTTGGATTACTGTTATTTAAAACTTGTAAGCATGATCAGAAGTTAATAAGCATTTTGTTTGAGAGGTAAGCCTTCAGGAAACAAAAGAAGTTACTCAGGATTCTGTATCAACATTCCTCAACATTACTACTTTTGTTGTAAAAAGTAGTCATTCAAGCTGTTACCTTTGCATAATTTCTGTTTTATCTGCCCACTTTCCTTTAACATTTCTTATGTACTGTAATTATTAAATGATTATATGAAAGAATTTTACACAATCTATTTATTGTTACAGCAAAAGAATATGGTTATGTCTCTCTAACATTTCTCACAAATGTTAAATAAACTCATTGCTCTTGGTTTGAGCAACACATCAGATATGATACAGAATTGTAAAAAATAAAATAAAGTTAGACTATAGTTACAATTTTGAAAGCCAAAATTGTATGAATGAGAAAAGATATGAGAAACCATTTGATTAGACAGTAAGAACCATTTCCTGACAGCAAAATAGTTGGTTTTGACAAGAACTGAACTGAGGAAATGAGTTTCAATTGGCCACTATATGGTAAATGGCTTGCCGTACTTAATTGGGAGCAAAAACATTTTCTGTCAAGTTTCTTTCTCAATCTGATGCTCAGATATTTTTGCAATCCAATTTGGACCATTTTATTATGAGAAATAATTTGATTTTATTTGGGATAAATTAAGCTACATGTAAAGCAGGGCTGCACAGTGGTGCAGTTGGTAGCACTGTTGCCTTACAGCAAGATTCCAGGCTAGGGGTCTTTCTGCATGAACTTTGCATGTTCTCCCTGTGCATGGTGGGTTCTTCTTCCCAAAGCCCAAAGGCATGACTGTGAGGTTGAGGGGTCTCTCTAAATTCTTCTTAGGTGTGAGTGTGTGCATGCATGGTTGTTTGTTGTGTCTGACTGTGTTGCCCTGTGATGGACTGGTCCTTTTGACTCATTGATAGGCACCAGGAATGGACAGATATGTAAAACATTTTGAACCAGATTAGTCTGGCGTGTATTGGCACAGTGTAATTACTTTGAGATTGAACAGAAAAACATGTTTCATTATATTAAGAACAAATCACTCAAGTTTTCACCTGGATCCTGTCTCGTCCACCCAGTTCTGTTGGAGATTTTTGGAACTAAAACTGTGGATGACATTTTTGAAATGATTCACAAACTGCATTAAAATTATTCAAATAAAATAGCAAAACACTGGGAAAAGTCAGTAGCTTTAATATGTAAGCTAGATGGATATCTCTTACTGTTGCATTTGAAGGGCTTTGCTTAAATAGAGTTTTAGTCCTAATTTTTTTTATCATCTACTTACTCACTGCACAGGTTAATGCATCAAAACCTCAAATTATTGTTGCTGATTAAATCAGAAGCTGTTGATTTATTTCAAAAAGTGCTTCAATTACAATTCATGTTGATTTAAAACAGCAATATCTACCCAAATACAACTGCTTTTTGTTCTACTAAAATGTTTTTTGTGGCAATGTATTGAGTATATGTAGGTGTCAAATATTAAATGTATTAATGACAGTGAAAAAATTAGCCTCCAATTATTATAACAATAATAATGCATATGGAGAAATAGACATTGCTATAAACAGTGAGGTAAAGAAATAAGTATAAGCATAAAATATCAATCATCTTTTTCATTAGAACTTCAAGAAACACTTATGTTTAGGATTTGAAAAAAAAAACATTTGCAAGGCACTATATAAAGTCTTAAAGAAACACTATAACTGACTTATCAGGACATTCCTGTCTGACAGAGTGTTATCAATTTTGAAATCTCATAGAAACTAACAGATAGTGAGGGAAACGTGAGATTTTTTTTTTAAATACTTCTTTAAAAAACAGCAGAGCAGAAGGTCAATTCTTGCAAAATCCACCCAACAAAAATGAGTGAAATTCAAGTTTAATATATTCATTTCCTAATTGGTTACTGACTTTGTAAAATTATGTCATGTACAATGTTCACATATACACAGAATTCATAGTTTGCAATAAGTACAGTAAGAAAAATTGTTAACAAAATGCAAACAAAGAAGATTATTTACTATACCTAATCCAGAAAAGTATTGCTTAAATTGTTAGAAAATTGCATTTGAGCTGGATTAGAACCTCAACAAAGAGTAATGGGGATAATAATTAGTCCAATCAGGGTGCTATTAAAATCACTGGGAATGTTAAACTGGCCAGGTAATTTGGTGACATAAAATACAAGCAGCCAAATTTACCCCAAAGAGAATACGTGTGAAAAGTACAACAGCATGTCTTCTAATGATGCAACCACTTAAAGTCTACTTAAACATCTGACAAAAACAGAGTGAGACGCCAGTTCCTTGAGAAACTGCAGTTGCCATTACTGCAAGTCCAAATTCACCAGTGTTAACTGCAGCGCTTTAGCATACGCTGTGGAGGAGAGAAGCATTTCAGACAGCAGTTCACAGGTCATACGTGTGCATAAGTATAAGGGTGTGCTGTTAGTACCTGTGGGGTTGTTGTGGAAGATGCAATTATTGGCACAGGTGTTGGGGTGGGAATCCCAAAAAGAGGAGGCACAGCAGCAAAGAGTGGGGAGCTCCAGCTTCATCTGAGACAAACGCTCCTTCATCTGAACTCTCAGAGCCTCGATAAACCTGCAGAGTCACGTACAGGTTACTATTCAGCTCAGAAATACTTACAGAAAGCTGTAAACTACAAGCAGCTATTTGGCTGTTTGCACATTAAAACAGGTGAAGATTAAACAATTCATGTTGAAGCAGCTCAAAAAAAGACTGTATGGCTGCAACTAACAATTATTTTAATTATTAATTAATTGATTATTTTGTCAATTAATCCATTATTTGTATAAAAAAATTGGCAACTTTTTTATTAAGTCTTTTTATACATTTAGAAATACATAAAAAGATATAAATGAATAAATGATTTAATTCCTTTTATACATAAGAAAATAGACATTTTATTGCCTAAATGAAATAACGGAGCATCTTTTTAGTGAAGACTTGATCGTTTGTAGCAAACTATCAGCTGATTTGCATCAACCCTTTCTGATTGACTTAACATCAACACAGTGTAGTTATTGATTAATCTATTGATTATTCTGATGAGTGATTAATTGAATTTTAAGCTTACCTCAGTGTGGATCGCGCCCCCTTTCACACAAACTGGACACAGGCTGACCTGTTTACATAAACCCCCTGAGTGAAATTATTGTTCTTTGGGCAATTCCACATCAAAGTGGAGTTTAAAACCCACCGTGTTAGATCTGGTTGTGCAGCTCAATGTGAACCGCAGAAATAACTTGTAGTCGCTCTTTCAGAGTGGTGAGAATGATGCGTGTGGCTATGTCTTCCATATTAAGCTTATGTACGTGTTACCCGGCCGGTGCATTAGTGGTTCACGAACCACCACTAACACTCATCGTGCAGGTGTAGCCCGGTGAGGAGCTTTCACGCTCTCCTCAATAGTCACGCTTCACGCTGGGGTTATATTATTATTATTGTTTTTGATATAATTTTTTAGGTTCCACAATGCATCAAACCATATCAAATGTTTTGTCCACTTAGTCAGCGTGTGGCCAGAAGAGAAACTCGTCCCACAAACTTGAGCAACAAAGGCAGTTTCAGTGGCCCTTGTTAAAAACTCAACAGACACAAAATGGAAGAGCTACTAAATCCACATTTCAGCATTGAATTAAATTTCCTGTTTCCTGTGGATCTCTGCGCAGTGCAGCGGATTTATTTTTATTTCCTTAAGTTAACCAGGTAAACCTCGTTGAGATCTGGATCTCATTTTTAAGAGGGACCTTAACTCGTCATGTAGGGGCCATCCAAGGCTATATGAGGCCTTGAGCAGAATTTTACTTCAGCCCAGTTCACACAACATGATTTTGGAAAAGTCGGCCGATTCTGAAAACGTGAGAGAGAGACCACACACTAGCCGATTTAAAATCGTAGGTGTAACGGTTCGATCGTAGAGTGTGAGGTTTCACTCGAACACATTCTAATTCCAGATACGAACAAACATGGACAACCACGTTGAAGTGGTAACTTTAGTTTGTGGACTAATGTTAACCCAAAAAAGACGGAACCAAAAATCAAAGCTTTGGATTAAGAACTGGAGACATCACAAGCAAGGATTATATTTGTTGCATCGCAACATGGAGGTGAGTTTTTTTTTTTTCTTCATAAAAAAATACTGTTTTGAATGTTTTCGGTTTTGTCGTTTAATTAATCGTTACAGTTTACGTATAATTTTATAATTTTTCGCTGTGTTCATGATGTTGTAGAATATATGCATACTGTATACTGTACCTTATTTCAGAAAACGGAATGACTGAAACATCAGAGTACCTTAAAATGTGAATGCATCATTGAGATCGATCCCTACCAACACCATAAAAGAGACCAATGAGCTGATCTACAACTCAGCATCAGTGATTCTTGAATGCTTGGCTATAAGAGCAACCATGAGATCCAATACCCACCATGGCAAAGACGGTTAGAGGCTAAAATCAAGGTAACAAGGAGGGAAGTGAGCCAACTGTCAGAGCTCCACAAGGGTACAATGAAAAGACCAGTACCCAGAAAGTACAGCCAGATGCCCATACCTGAAGCACTTGAAACTGCCAAACAGAGGCTCCAAGCCTTGGCCAGCCGCCTAACAGATACACAAGGGAGAATGAATCCAGAAGGATTAACCGGCTCTTCTCCACTCAACCAGCTAAGGTGTACTCTCAATGACAGGGTAATAACAAACAGAGCAACAATACTGGAAAGGCATATGGGAAATGGAGGCGTCCCACAACAGCAATGCACAGTGGCTGATCTCTCTACGAGAGGACCACAGCAACCTCCCTGAGCAAGCCCCGGTAACCATCACTGTGACAGATGTCCAAAAGAAACTGGACAGCACCAATGCCTGACATGATCCATGCCTACTGGCTAAAGAAACTCACTGCTCTCCATGAGCGACTGGCAGCCCACATGAACCAGCTGCTACAAAGTGAGACTCACCCTGAATGGTTAACTGAAGGGCGGACAATCCTAATCCAGAAGGATCTAACAAAGTGTCCAGTCCCACCCAATTACCGACCAATAACCTGCCTCTCCACAACCTGGAAGCTCATGTCAGGCATCATAGCGGCCAAGATAAGCAAACGCATGGATAAACACACGAACACGGCACAGAAGGGTATCGGTGTAAATAGTAGAGGAGCCAAACACCAACTCCTCGTAGACCACACAGTTGCCAGAGACTGCAAAACCCGACACACCAACCTGTGCATGGCTTGGATTGATTACAAGAAAGCCTATGACTCAATGCCGCATACTTGGATCATTGAATGCCTAGAGATGTATAACATCAACAGGACTCTGAGAGCCTTCATTGCAAACTCGATGAGGCTGTGGAAAACCACCCTTGAAGCCAACTGCAACCACTTGCACAAGTGTCCATCAAATGTGGCATATACCAAGGAGATGCTCTGTCCCCGCTACTGTTCTGCATAGGCCTGAACCCCCTCAGCCAAATTATCAACAAGACTGAAAAATACCGACTGAAAAATGAGGCCAACATCAGTCACCTTCTCTACATGGATGACATCAAGCTGTACAACAAGTGTGAGTGAGACATCGACTCACTGATCCACACCACCAGGATCTACAGCACGGACATCGGGATGTCATTCGGACTAGAGAAACGTGGTCGGCTGGTCACAAAGAGGGGGAAGGTGATCCACACAGAAGAAGTCTCACTCCCAGAAGGAACAATAGCAGACATAGAGGACAGTTACAAGTACCTAGGTATACCACAAGCAAATGGCAACCTCGATGAGGTCACAAGGAAAGGAGCCACAGCTAAATACCTCCAACGAAGGCAAGTCCTGAGAAGCCAGCTCAATGGCAAGAACAAAATCTGTGTGATAAACAGCTATGCCTTGCCAGTAATCAGATACCCTGCTGGAATAATTAGCTGGCCAAAGGAGGAGATAAAAGCCACAGATATTAAGACCAGAAAACTACTAACATTGCATGGAGGGTTCCATCCCAAATCCAGCACCCTGAGACTGTACACGAGCCGCAAGGAAGGAGGAAGAGGACTAGTGAGTGTGAGAACCACTGTCCAGGACGAAACAACTAAGATCCATAAATACATCAGGGACAAAGCCTCAACAGACAATGTGCTCAGTGAATGTCTCAGACAAAAGGGAACGGAGGTTGAGGTGCCAGAGATACCATCATGGGAGGACAAGCCCCTACATGGGATGTACCACCAGCAAATAACCGAAGTGGCTGATATCAGTAAATCCTACCAATGGCTGGAAAAAGCTGGACTCAAGGACAGCAGAGGCCCTCATCCTGGCCGCCCAGGAACAGGCCCTAAACACCAGAGCAATAGAGGCCCAGATCTGCCACGCCAGACAAGACCCAAGGTGTAGGTTGTGCAAGGAGGCCCTGAGACAGTCCAGCACATAACAGCAGGGTGCAAGATACTGGCAGGGAAAGCGTACATGGAACGACTTAACCAAGTGGCAGGCATAGTGTACAGAAACATCTGTGCAGAATATGGACTGGAAACCCCGAGATCAAAGTGGGAAACACCCCCAAAGGTGGTGGAGAATGCCAGAGCTAAGATCCTGTGGGACTTCCACATCCAGACAGACAGAATGGTAATGGCGAACCAACCAGACATTGTCGTAGTGGATAAACATCAGAGGAAAGCCGTTGTGGTAGATGTAGCAATACCAAGTGATTGCAACATCAGGAAAAAGGAGCACGAGAAACTGGAGAAATACCAGGGCCTCAGGGAGGAACTGGAGAGGGCCTGGAAGGTGAAGACCACAGTGGTGCCTGTGGTCATCGGGCCCTCGGGGCAGTAACCCCCAAACTGGAGCAGTGGCTACAACAGATCCCAGGAACAACATCAGACATCTCAGTCCAGAAATGTGCAGCAGTCCTTGGCACAGCCAAGATACTGCAGGACCCTCAAGCTCCCAGGCCTCTGGTAGAGGACCCGAGCTCAGAGGATAAGAACCACCCGCGGTGGGTGAGAAGGGAAAATGAATTATATTTATTTTATATATATATATAAAAAAATTAAAAATGGCTTTTTCCAGACATTGATAGGATTTACTGATATCAGCACATTGTCTGTTGAGGCTTTGTCCCTGATGTATTTATGGATCTTAGTTGTTTCGTCCTGGACAGTGGTTCTCACACTCACTAGTCCTCTGCCTCCGTCCTTGCGGCTCGTGTACAGTCTCAGGGTGCTGGATTTGGGATGGAACCCTCCATGCATGGTTAGTAGCTTTCTAGTCTTAATATCTGTGGCTTTTATCTCCTCCTTTGGCCAGCTGATTATTCCAGCAGGGTATCTGATTACTGGCAGGGCATAGCTGTTTATTGCACGGATTTTGTTCTTGCCATTGAGCTGGCTTCTCAGGACTTGCCTTAGTCGTTGGAGGTATTTAGGTATTTAGCTGTGGCTCCTTTCCTTGTGGTCTCATCGAGGTTGCCATTTGCTTGTGGTATACCTAGGTACTTGTAACTGTCCTCTATGTCTGCTATTGTTCCTTGTGGGAGTGAGATCCCTTCTGTGTGGATCACCTTCCCCTCTTTGTGATCAGCCGACCACATTTCTCTAGTCCGAAGATCCACACCTGGTGGTGTGGATCAGTGAGTCGATGTCTCGCTCACTCTTGGCATACAGCTTGATGTCATCCATGTAGAGGAGGTGACTGATGTTGGCCCCATTTTTGAGTCGGTATCCGTAGCCAGTCTTGTTGATAATTTGGCTGAGGGGGTTCAGGCCTATGCAGAACAGTAGCGGGGACAGAGCATCTCCTTGGTATATGCCACATTTGATGGACACTTGTGCAAGTGGTTTGCAGTTGGCTTCAAGGGTGGTTTTCCACAGCCTCATCGAGTTCGCAATGAAGGCTCTCAGAATCCTGTTGATGTTATACATCTCTAGGCATTCGATCCAAGCCATGCACAGGTTGGTGTGTCGGGTTTTGCAGTCTCGGGCAACTGTGCGGTCTACGAGGAGTTGGTGTTTGGCTCCTCTGGTATTTACACCGATACCCTTCTGTGCCGTGCTCATGTGTTTATCCATGTGTTTGCTTATCTTGGCCGCTATGATGCTGACATGAGCTTCCAGGTTGTGGAGAGTTGGGTGGGACTGGACCCTTTGATGGATCCTTCTGGATTAGGATTGTCCGCCCTTCAGTTAACCATTCAGGGTGAGTCCCACTTTGTAGCAGCTGGTTCATTTGAGCTGCCAGTCGCTCATGGAGAGCAGTGAGTTTCTTTCAGTGAGTCTCCAGCCTTGGTGGGTCTGCTCTGTTGTTATTACCCTTTTCATTGTACCCTTGTGGAGCTCTGACAGTTGGCTCACTTCCCTCCTTGTTACCTTGATTTTAGCCTCTAACCGTCTTTTCCATGGTGGGTATTGGGTCTCATGGTTGCTCTTATAGCCAAGTATCTCAATGATCACTGATGCTGAGTTGTAGATCAGCTCATTGGTTTCTGTTATGGTGTTGGTAGGGATCGTTCTCAATGCTGCATTCACATTCTCAATGAGACTTTCTGATGGTACTTCACTCAGCCGTTGTAATTGGCGCCGAGGAGGCCTGGTTGTCATTCTCGTTCAGCTCTGTTTCGCTCATTGGGGCCGTGTATCCCCTCACTGGGTGGGGACTTGTAGTTAAGTCCCCACAGTTCTGACATCCGGGTTCCTCCCTTTTGCCGTAGCATTTGTGTTGTATCTCGTCAATCTCAAGTTGTGATAGCAGTTGCCGTTTGCGGATGTTGGAACACTGAGCTACTAGTTGTTTAGCGCTTAGTGTTGACTGGGGATGTCGAAGTAACCATTCCTTCCCCAGTCTTTGCATGTAACCTCTCTCACTAGGGTTACTTGAGTAGTAGCATTCCAACAGATCCACATTTTCATCTCTCGCCCATTTCCGTCTTGTTCCAGTAGCCCATTTGTCATCAAGGTGCTCTGGTTCCCCAACACCTGACGCAGACCTTGTTTGGCCGGGCGACGTCTGAGCCGGCATGTTATGCAACTTAGTATCTCTCATGGTATGAGGTAGACAGTAGCTTGAAGGGTCTTGCCTAAGGACCCAGACTGGATTCGAACCCTGCCCTCTCGGGTGATATACTGATGCCTTATGTATTGAGCTATCCAGTCAGCGATGGTTACCGGGGCTTACTCAGGGAGGTTGCTGTGGTCCTCTCGTAGAGAGATCAGCATATATATATATATATATATATATATATATATATATATATATATATATATATATATATATATATATATATATATTACTAAATTAAAGATTGTGCTCTTATAAGTTTACATTGCTGCATTTTTTGTAAACTTAACTTATTTTATAAGCATGACAGCAAAAGGTTCATATATTAAACATTTCTAATGAAATCAGTCCAGAACATCAAGGACTTCCTTTATAGTTTATCTAGATCTCTAAATTCCTACAGATCTGTGCTTGGCTCTGGGAGTTTAAGGGAGTCGAGAATGCTAATTGACTAATCTCTGAGTAACCAAGCTATAGTATGCTCACTGCTACACACATTGACATTATTCTAGTTTCATCAGAATCAGAACGAGTGAGTAGGTCATACATCAGTTAGATTACCTCACAGAGTCTTTCCACTTGTTATTGTTCCTCTCCTCCTCCCTCTTCCTCCTCTGCAGCTGCATAGCTCTCTCCTTCTCTTCCTCCTCCTCCAGCGCCAGCTGCTCCAGAACCTGCCGGTCTCGCTCTTCCAGCCTCTGCCTGGCCTCCACAAGCCTCCGAGCTTTCTCTAACTTCATCTCCTCGTCCTGACGAAGCTTTTCTTTCTCTGCTTTGATCCTTAAATGACAAAATAAATCAATTTTTAAAAAAAATCTGACCAAGACTTCTTTTTCCCTTTTGTGAAGCATTGTAAAAAATAGTTGATCAAATGTTACAAGCTATACATGTCATACAAATGGAACAGATGCAGAGTTACATTCTCCGTCCAGCGCTGGGCCACACTTAACTCACTTTATGGATGCAACCAAGTGAGGCAAAGATTGTAGCGAGTTTAGCTTTTATTCTTCTCTGCAATCTGTACCCTCCATAAACGGTAGTCTAGTCAGTTTCAGTCTGTTTATGTATGACTGATGGTGACAGTCACATATAAGCATGGTTATGTAAGCCGCAGCGTGTTTGTGTGTGTGTGTGTGTAAGCAGATAAAAGAGATAGAGGAAAATACAGAATCCTTAACAAGATGAAAGGTTAGTTAAGTACTTAGGCTCTTATAATTTATTAGCAGATGAACAGAATGTGCTCCCCTGGTCTAAATCCAAACATTTTGAGATCAAGATTTTCTTTTTCTCTCATCAGCCGGCTGAGTTCTACCTCATGACACTGTAAAAACTGTAAATGAAACTCTATTGAATTATTTTACATGCGAATCAGTTATTGCACACATATCAAAGTGATAGAAATCCTAATGCAGCAACTTCCTCATTGAAATTCTGACACTAAAAAAGGGCTTCTGTCGTGATTGACACAGGGAGGGTGAGGGAGTCTCATCCTCTTTGTGGAATCGCTATCAAGAGATTTCAGAAGCAAAATTTTTAAAATTTGAGGCTGCTGGTAACCGTTTGTTCAAATAACAAAAAAGATAAAAAGCAAAAGAAAAAAAAGAAATTCTGACACTGGCAGGAGGAACTGGTTTCTCATAGTCGGAAGCAAACTTGAGGCCAGCAGGTGTCAGTCAGTTATGATAGACCTGAAATTTGGTTTGATGACCTCAAATGAGAAATTTCAAACAGAAAGGAGGAACCAAAGAGCACAGTTATGTGAAAAGTACATCTTACGAAGTTGTCGCCTTTAACCAGATGTTGGACAGGATTTTATTTCAATGTCTTGTGAATGTTAGCGCCTCATTTTCAACAGCGGAACTGTGCAGGTTGAAAAAGATTGTCATTTTGGAGAAAATCTCATCAATATCAATATTTCCATTAAATAAGAGATGAAAATAAATAGTATGTTTCATAGAGGAAAAGCCTCTCAGACTCTGTGCTCTAAGCAAAATGCCAGAAACATTTTTTTTTAAATATTAGAAAATGTATTTAATTTCACATAATTATTGTGATAGGAGCCATTTGTTTGTTAAATACTTCACCAAATATATTTGTTCTATTTGATGTTTGTTGTGAGTGACGTACACTCACAAACGAACGAGTTAATTTGTCCAATTTTGTCGTTTAATGAACGTTCAGAAAATACAGCGGCTGTAGTGCACCACAGCAAAGGTAAACAAACGCAAAATAACCTCAAATATTGTTGTTACCTGGAATATGAGGTGTATACTGAGTTGTGTTTCAGTTATCACAGTTTATTTTGAAGCCCTGCCGCTTTAGAAAAAGGAATTTTTTTGTTTAAAGAATATTTATGTCCATCCGCTTGTTTGTGTATGTTTTTATTGTGTCTTGTAAGTTGATGTGGGCTGGTCACTTGCAAAAGGGTATATGACACATATGACAATAAAGACTATGTATTAATCTATTATTTATTTATTAGAAAAAAATTATTATTTGAGTAAGAACGACTTAAATTTGTCATGTTAAACATACTCAATGAATCAAGTTATAAAAACTTACTAAATTAAGTTGGATAAACTCAGTCAATTGAGTTGGTCAGATGTAGGATACAAAACTGGCATCGAACTCAATAATTTCAAGTAAAGTCAAAGTAAAATGTCCCTTTAAGTTAAAGCTTTGTAACTTTTAAGATAATTGAACACAAACAAATACGTTGTCATCACCAAACTAAAGAAATAAGTGAGATTAATGTAAAATATTCCATAAGTTGAACTGCAGAGTAAGGTCTAACAACACTATTGTTGTGTGAAAACAGCAGCAGAAGGTTATGCAGGAGGATCAGTGGTAGTCTGGTCACCTTGCAGTCCTCTTCAGATGTTTCCTGAGCTGTTGGTTCTCCTTCACCTGCTCCCGTTCAGTGTTCATGACCAGGCGGCGGTGCTTCAGGAACTGAGACTGACGCTGCAGAAAAAGACAGAGAATCAGCTGTAAAATTTTAGCCAGACAGGAGAAAAACAAGTAAAATTTGATCTTCATCCACCTGCTTTTTCACTTTTTCTTCATCCGTCATTGGCCAGAGAAACTTTGGGACTTCATGACCAGAGAGTGAATTATTTGGATTCAACAGGGTGTGTCCGTTGACCTTAAACATACAAACACAAGACAACCTACAAAAGTATTCACATTTTGTCATTTTACAACAAACTTGAATGTAATTTATTAACCTTTTTGTGGAATATAAAAATGGCATAAAATGTAAATATTATATGCAAATCTAAAAAAATGGGGCATGAATTTGTATTCTGTAACTTTTACAATAATACGGCAAAAGCAATAAAAAAAATACAAATCTGTCTCTAATGTAATTCTTCACTATTTTTTCTACTTTTGACTTGTTTACTCCAATCTGTATACTCCAGTGTACAACTAATCACATACCATATGCTTTTATTTACATATTGTACTTATTACGCATTGCTGTTTTACATTATTATAAATATTATACATATTCTTTACATATTTTACTTTTATTGCATATATTTATATTGACACTTTTATTGTTATTTATTAATTGTTATTGGAGCCTTGCAACAAAATTTCTTTAAAAATGTACATTTGAATGACAATAAAATCTGTCTGTCTCTGTGCATGTCTAAATTAGTTGACTGTTATTTCACTAATTAGTTCATCATGATTAATCATTTTAGCCCTACTCTCAACTGTTCTCAGTATCTTGCAAAATTATTCATAGTTGCTGTGGTTTTTTCAATGTTGCCACATGATAAACACAACCTTCACTGTTAATATATTAGCATATTATGTTGTAAGGAAGCACCATTGTAGAGTGGAAATAAAAGGATAAATTGTTTTTTTTAATTTGGAAATTAAAAAGTGAAATACTGTTTGTATTTCACTTGTCTTACTGCAATATTCCTAAATAAAATCCAACCAATTGGAGCTGTCTAACTAGTGGCTAACATGTGGATAGCATGTTAGCCACCTATAAATGCAGCAGATGTGTGGAGGTTTGTATTCTTAAACACACGTCATGTTGACAAAGAAACACAACAGAGAGGTTTAAAACTGAATTAGGTTATAAAACTATATGCCAAGCTGTGAACATCTACAGAAAGCACTTCAATCCATTGTCTGAGAATAAAACAGCATAGCACAACTGCTATAAGAAGCAAATTGGAAAAGGTTTCAGTCTCAATACATGCCACAATTTTTCGATTATTTCTTTTATTTGTAAAACTAGGCACCTTTTTCTTCCACTTCACATTACAAATTGCTTTGTGTTGCTTTATTACAAAAGGTCAAAATATAATACACTGAAGTTGTGGTTATAATGTGAGAAAATAGAAAAAGGTTTGAGATGTAAGAATACTTTTAAAATTGAAGTTCATGTTCATTGTCCAACACTCACAAATATTAGACAAATTAATAAAAGTAAAAACAAAAACTTGAAGTCTGAAAAAATATAACATAACCTGTTTGATTTCATTTCTGCATGTTGATAAATTCAGTTACCTTCTGCTGAACAAGGGGACATTCATGTTGATTACTAAAGAGAGGAACATCTCTCGTTTCCTGTTCCTCCTCTGTTCTCTGCACACAAGCATTAGCAGTTTGATGGGGGAGAGACAAATGTTTTCAGTTATTCCTTCAACTTCCAGGAAAAAAAACCCAAACATGATTTAGGAAGTGTGCTAAAAATAAAAAAAGCAGAACAAAGGTTTAGACACAGACACTCACATGTCTGGTTGGAGAGATGCTCCATCTGCCTCCTGGAAGATCTGACAGTGCTTCCTCCCCTTGGGTCAGCCGACAGGCAGCCAGTCTGAGTCTGACCTGCCTCAGGGGCTTACTCAACTGGAAAACAGTGGAAATAAATAATATTCCACATTAATGATGGTCACATTACCAGATAAGTCACAGAATGGTAAATAGTTTGATCTTTCTGGAGGTCAAAAACACAGCAAAAATGCTAACTAAGCAAAAAAGTAATTGTAAACTTCATTGAGAGTAAAACTGGATTTACCAACTATTTACCAGCTGAAATAAATGTATTAGTGCTCCGTGGTGGGTAAACTTCCACTTTACAGTTTGCACCCATAAACAACTCATAATGTTTATACGGAATCCTGCAACAGCTACTTAATACTAGATTCAGAGCCTTTTGTTTTCAGACCTGAAACAAAACCAGGGAGAGAATAGCTTCATCAGCCCAGGTTTGGGCAAAGAATAATCAAATTAACTTATCAATAGACTTTTATTTTAGCTGAAGAACGAAAGATTTCACTTAAAAGACATTCTTAAAAATCATTTACATATATTTTTTAACATTTTACTATTCAACAGTGATTTCAGTGATGTTTTCAGTTGAATTTACAATTTATAATAAATAAAAATAAGAGTGTCTCCAATGTTAGCAAGAAATCTATCAGAGCTTTCTGCTTCTCTTTGCTGAGGAACCTTCACCTCACCTCTGGAGAACTGCCCTGTGGTGCAACAGGTTCTGAGTGGATATGCTCCTCTTCCTTGCAGACCTGTTGGGTCAGGATCAGAGGTCCTCTGTGGGGTATTACCTAGACAAAGACACACATGTCTACCATGAAAAGATCTTTTCAGGAAAATTAATGTCTTGTGAGCCATGGTGCAGCTTGCACACCACACAGGTTTTTTAAGAACTTGGTATTATTAATAACATACTAATATAAAACATAATGACCAGCTAACCAGTCAGCTACATCTTCTAATAAGAAAAATGTCACTATTTTAGCTTGAAGACTGTTGCAAAAACCTAATTGGTTCTCTTTTTGTTTTTAGTTTCAGATATGAAAAATGGCAGTGAAAATAACAGGAAGTTGTGGTTACGTGTACGCTGGAATTCTGCAACATATGTACCTGACAAGAGGAGGTGTAAAAAGTATATCTGGTCTAAGTGCAATTAAAAGTGATTTTTGTTTCTGAATATGTCATAAGGGTACCAGGAAACTTTCTGGGGCTTATTTTTTACATGCTTCTGCCAGGGAACGATTAGATTATCTCGGACAAAACTGTCCCTGGAGACGGGATAAAATTTTGGTTTTTAGCCTCAACCTACTGGGAAGGTGGAAAACCTTTCAGATTGGGTGAATTTTCTGAGCCTTGTGTTTAACTTTATACTCTTCTGAAGTGATATTTGGTGTGTAATATAACAGACATTTCATAAATATACAAGATTTTGAATAATTTCTGCCTTTAGGTGAGGGCGGAGTCAGAGAGTATATCCTCATGTCATAATATTTGATTTTTAGAATTTGAACAATGTGTCATCATTTATAGGGCACCACCATACAGAATGAAAGAATGCAAGATGAAAACATTGAAAAACAAAGACAAAATAAATGAAGAAATAAGCTAGAAAGCCTGGAAAAGTAAAAATAAACACCAAAAAACAAAAACGTGCAGTTAGCAAACATGATGATTTTTCAATATAAAGTGAAGTAGAGCTACAATGCCAATAAGAGGAGCAATACTTTCTGCTTTCTTCTTGTTCTCATCTGAGCTTTTTACACTGTGACCTTCAACACTTTGAACAAATCAGCCTTTGCTCTTGTCTGCTTTTTTCCAGGACTTCACAGTCAGGTGGGAATACTTTACCAAGGGATGTGAGTGAGGTTGCTGTTGTCGCTTGCACGCGTGAGCTTGATGTGCGACTCGTCGTCGCACTTCATCTTGAAACCGCTTCAGGTTGTCTGCATCCTCTCTTCTCTTTTGGGCCTGTAGCTCCTCAGTTAGCAAAGCAAGGGTCTAAAACAAAACACAGATCTCTGAAAACAACAAGACTATCAATCCCTAAAATCTCCATTTACCAAAAATGGAATCAGCAACAACAAAGCTAAAATGTTTTAGAATAAGGCTATTTAAAAATTCTCAAATTGGATCTCTAAATAAACTGTTTAGCTTCCATTCTTATGTAGTGATTTGTTGAATTAGTACAGTTGAACTATTTTTTATGTCAGAAAAAATTTTTAATGTTGCAATATCCAAATTTTGAATATTGGTGCGTCTCTAAATTATAAGTAAAACATATCCAGCGAAATTAACCAGTAGACAAAAGCCAAACAAAGCTGATATTTAAAATTTTATAACAATTTATAAAATAGTTAAACTTGACGTTTGGGCTAAATTAATGAATTTTCAATGGTCTGGATAAAAACTGTAGGAAAAGTAAGGACTCTATCAAAATAAATGTGAGACTTGGCACTACTGTTGGTAACGGCTAAATTAGAGCTTGCTGGTCGCGGCAGATTTTAAAGCCAAACTTACAGCCGGGTGCTCCCGGAAATCCTCTCCGACTTCTACCCAGGCTCCAACCGCCACAACCGCCTGGTTCCTTTCGGCCAACACTTTACTGGGTCTCGAGTGTCCATGCTGGCTGCTCAGGCTCCCCGGAGATTTAAACCTGCGGTCTATCGGAACTTTGAAATGGCCAGTAGTCATTAGTAACCGAAAACACTGCTGCTTATGTTGATTCCGATTGAATTCAGAAGATTAATTCAACGAGAAACTACTTCGGTGGCTAAGTTGACACACAGAGAAAATGCTATAAACCTTTTAAACTAATGAAAACGATAAAAGATCTGACGTGAGGACAAAATGAAAATATCTCAGCAGAGAATTGAATTTCGCTCTTCTCGTTTTAGTGCGGAGTTTAGCAAACACCTCACTACTGCCTCCATGTGGACAGGAGGAGACAGTGAACGTCAACGTCGAGAGGATTTCTGAAACAACTCTCTCTGGGAAATATAGAAAATAACTGAAGTACAAAGATTTAATCAAATAAATTGTTTTGTAATTAAATGCTCTTTTAATGAGTCCACTTGTATAATACTGAAGCATCTTCTGTTCAACTTAATCTGATTAAAAGTTAAACTTCCTAAAATTACTGTATTGACTATTTGTCCCAAAAACTTAATTCCAAAATCAAAGAGAAAAAAAAAATTCAAATTTCAAAAGTGATCAAAGCAAAATGAAATGAACTCAAACAGTCAATACTGTGGATTGTGGGTTCTGGTTTACACAGTCCAAACAAAAGGTCAAAACAGTCCAGCTCTTTGTTTTCTTTATTCAGTTTTTATCTAAAACCAAGTTACAGGCTTTGGCAAACCTTGCCCTTACTCCTGCACTTATTCTCACTAATAAAAAACTGACTCACCGACTGACTGATGACAGACAGGTAAAAAACCATATGACCACCCACGTGACTAAGACTCATCTATACGCTACATATTTATACTGTGAAACACACCCACTTCCCAAACTGAAATCAATTAACTAATTAAGTGAATTACTAACCAAAAAACTTATTTAGAAAACAAAATAAACATTCTAATTATAAATCAACTAGAAAACAAACAAAATAAACTAAATAATCTACATTCTAAACTTTAAAAATAATGGAGAAATAGCTCCTACAATTATTATTGACTCACATAAAGAGTCTAAGCAGTAATCTCAACAATGGTATAAAAACCTCTTATATTAAGAATCTTTAAAAATATTAAGTATAGACCCAAGTGTGGAGAAGTACTTTTGGACAGAATAAAGAAGCTTCTTTCTCATCTGTAACCATTTTAGTAATTTTTTAATTGTTGAAATAGGTCTATTTTAAATATTTTTATTTTAAATAAAATATGTGGACATGAATTGGCATTTTTAAACTGATGCTACACCCTGCACCATTTTTTGTATTGTGCCTTCTATCTAACATTTATCCGTACGATATAAAATTTATCCTAATTTTATTTCAACTCCAAAGTAAAATGAATATATTTTTAAGTCTGAATGTATTGCCAAGAGGTTGTCATCAGAAGTTCAAATATACATTTAGTATGCATTTTTTCATCTCTAATCTATGTTTGTAGTTAAACAATCTGATTGTTTACCATTAATTTTATGTTAATTAGCTTTTAACCTGACATGAATTTATACATTTTACAGTTGTTATTCTTCACTCTCTCAAAAAGAAGTCAAAGTAAAGATGACAAAGAAGATTATACCAGAAGAGATTTTCTATTAGATACAAAAATCAAACTCATCCAGCAGGTGACAGTACACATTGAGCAAATCTGGACAGATTTTTTTTTTCCACAATCCATTTGAGGGGGAAAAAAAATCCAATATTCTGACCTCATTTTGTAAGAAAGAAAAAACATTAAAACTAAACATTTTTGCAAAGGTATTAACACAATTTTAATTAAACAAAACCATTAAAAAAATTTAAAAAAAAACAGCACAAACTGAACCCAAGATCAATAGAAGGGTGAATAAATCAATAAAATACAACAATAGAACAATTCTGTTCAAGGAGTAACTTTATTTTAAAAGACAGTATTTTATTACATTTTGTTCAACTTAATCCCATAGTTCCTTGTATCAAATATAAAGGTTACTCTGAATTTCAGAGCTTCTGACAAACTTGCGGAGGACATCTGTGCTTTGGGATGAGTCCACCTGAGGAGAGAATTTCCGAAAATAATATTCAATAAAAAGATTTTATTTTTCCAAGAATTTCTTCCTCCAGGTAAAATGTCTCACTCAGACTAAAATCTCCTGTCAACAAAACACTTAAACCAGGATAAAATAAATTACTCTTGTAATATGAATTCCCTGAGAGTGCCAACGAAATTCTTGGAAATTTAGCAGCATATTCAAATTTAGTCTTTCCATTTCTCCTGTTCACAATTCATATATAAATCTTACAAGATAAGTACAAAAAAATACCTTCTATGGTTTTATCATCTTGATGTTGAGCAAATCATTAAATAACTCCATCCTGTCTTCAAAAATGTTTGACTATTTCATGACTTTTTGGGGGCATTTGGACCAACTAAGTCAGCACCAATTCTAAATCTATTTCACTCTGACTTTTAAAATCTGGTCTGGATTACTCTACATTAAATACAGACTCTGCAACCTGTCAGGTCTTTATTTTATTTGAGATAATGCCTCAATAGTTGGAAGGTCTACAAAGCTTAAAAACCACAAATGGTCATAGATATTTTCTAACTTTGACTTATCATTTTGCTAAGTGAACATAAATGTCAACATTCGACATGAAGAGTAATTAATTTCTTTAAAAAACATTTTGTGAAGAATTTTTGTTTATCATCCTCAATCAATTTCAATGAAAAATCTTAAAAAAACAAAACTGGCAGTATTATCAGATGTTTTTTATTTTATTTTTTTTACTATTTTTGCCACTATTTGTTCCACAAGAGGATGAATAAATATCAGTAAGTTTGAAAATGTAATTGAATACAGTTACTGCAGGAATGTTTTACAAGAGCAGTATTTGTTTGCAGTGCCATACAGTTACCTTCATAAGATGTAATACATAATTTATTATCAGTTTTATTGTTATCACAATAGCACTACAAAATATAACAAGGCAATTCTAAGTCCATGTCACCCAGCTCTATTGGAAGACATAAAAAATAAAAAGTACAAACATGTCAAAAATTAGCCTGTTATATCGTTAGTAGGTAAAAAGAAAAGAAAATAACTATTGCCAAAAAGACTGCTTTTTAAAAATACAGTTAGATTTATTTTGCAGCACAGTGGTGCAGTTGTTACCACTGTTGCATGTTCTCTCCTGGTTAGGTCAATTGGCTAGGTGTGAGATTATTTTTCCTGTGTGACTGAGATGAACCCTCCCTCCTGCCCATTGACTGCAGATAAGGATAAGGGAGTGTAGATGATGGATGGGTATTTGGCAGCAGTTTTTGTTAGTCAAATGTAATGCTTTGACTTTGCTTTCCCCTTCAAGGGAATTGTAAAACACAATTTCTCATAAAAAAAAATAAAAAAAAAAGCTGAAAGGATTTCAACTTGGAAACTAGAGACTCTGCAACTGATAAGAAAAAGAAAGGAAAATGCTTTTGTGCTTTTGGCATGAGCTGCTCCTGTAATTATAAAACCTAATCCCATCAGCTGTCAGACGCTTGCAGCTACAGTCTCAGCTGGAGTGCAGCCAGATTGTCGTTATGCAGGACATGACGATACATCCACCTTCACTGACCTTTATTATAAACAGAACAGTGGCTCACCTGTATGGACCTGACAAGCTTGGTTAGCACCGGCTTGTACTTGTCCATGGTGATGGAGTCAGGACCGGTGACATCACTGTAACACTGGTAGACAACAGCAGCGATGCTGTGGATCTGGCAGTGGTTGAGGACTGATGAAACACCACAGAAAATAACAAAACAGGGTTAACTGATGGATAAAGGATGACACTGATGAAGAGGAAGCCGATTAGCAATGAAGACTTGGTCCCTTATGCCAATAAAAGCTCTTTTTGTTAGGATTAAATGTGTTTAGGTGTACTGGCGACATAATGCCCACATCAGGATGCAGGACTGTGCATCATCTGAGTGGAAAGAAGCCTAATGGCACCACATTTCATTCAGCGAACCATTTGTCCAAAGTGACTTTTTTCCCTCCACATACACACACCAAGAGCTGTGTGGGGCTTACTGCCTTGCTCAATGTTGCCTCAGCAGGCAGGAATGAGAATCAGAGCTGTCAAAAGTGTGAAAGTGAAACTGAAGTATTCCAGGTGTTGTGGAATCAGAAACACCTTTTATATTCTATTTAGAGACTTTATACTGGTCCATTACAACAAACAACGTTATACTCATATTAAATCATATCTATGGCTGAAACAATTAATCAGATTCATTGTAATAAATTGATTAAATAAGTAACTAATTTAGTAATCAATTAATTGCTAATCGGAATATACACTCACTAAAGGCCTTTTCCTGAAGCAACACAGAGCAGTAATTAAGCAAAAAGCAAAAAAATCAAGCAAAAATATAAACATTTTATTGCACCCCTAGAAAAAAAAGTTATTTAAATAAGGATTTCAATTGTTTGTTTATTTGCATTGTTTAGTGCATTTGCAATATGGGATAAAAAATGCTCAACTGGTTTAATAAAAAAATTTGCAAGATGTGCCATTTTAAAAATTTGATTAATAAAATTTCAAATCAATAACTAACTGTTAGTTGAAGCCCTGCTCATAGCTCTGACAGATTTAGATTAAAATATATTTTCCTTCTTGTGGACTCACTCCCATATTTCCGAGTCTTTTCTTCCTTTACCATTACACCACATCCCCCTACCACTCTGTGAGCTTTAGTATCTCAGCCCCTAAATTATCTATACATGTATAGATAATTTAGGAGCATTAATCAATACTAGTTAGTCCACCCAACTGGCCAAATGGATTATCCATATGCAGACTGCGCATTCCTGAAAATATAAAATCCTACAGAGCATCAGAGTCATCTGAAATTTGTCTTTGCACTCAGTTTAGCAGTTTTAAGAAGTAACCCTCGCAAATTACTGACCAGGATTTGGAAGTTTTCACTGGTATTTTGAGGATTTATATTTGGTGATTAGTTCCAATTCTTTGAGGTTGGAAGGCCTCTCCATCATCACACTAATCTTTAGTTCTTTCCACACATTCTCGGTTTCAATCAATCCAAACTGTAATTAAAATTTACAAAACATACTAAAAATTTCCTTTTGAACCCAAATGATCCAGGTTGGAAGTAAATATTTCTTCTAGGAGAAGCTGCACAGGTTACATTTCTTGTGGTCGTTACATATATTAAATATGGACAAACCTATTTCTTTCTCGATCCAAGAAACATTAATTAATTATAATAAACAATA